GACTCAGCTTCAGAATTGAAGTTGGCAAGTGAAACAATACTAATTGTCTTCAGTGTCTTGGCATTGAAAGATGGTCAGAGAAATAAATGGATGGGATGGATGGATGGATGGATGGATGGATGGATGGATGGGCAGATGGACACATATAGGTAATAAAGCAGAATTTTGCTCCAAATACCAGCGTTCTGCTTGATATAAACTGGGAAATCTTGGGAAAATTAACCTTTCTGGGTCTTAGTTTCCCCATCTGTAAAATAGAATAATACAGTCATTTTTACTGAGGGCTTTTTTGGTTGCAAATGGCAAAAACCCAATTCAAAGCAGCTTAGGCAAAAAGTTAAATTTGTTATATCAAAACTAGGTATGAGGCCAGGTGCAGTGGCTCACACCTGTAATCCCAGCACTTTGGGAGGCTGAGGCAGGTGGCTTGCTTAACCTCAGGACTTTGAGACCTGCCTGGGCAACATGGTGAAATTCCATATCTACAAAAATTAGCCAGGCTGTGGCGCCCAGCCTGGCTAGGAGGCTGAGGAGGCTGAGGTAAAAGAATCACTTGAGCCCAAGAGGCAGAGGTCGCAGTGAGCCCAGATCGCACCACTGCACTCTAGACTAGGCAACAGAGCGAGACTCCATCTTAAAAAAAAAAAAAAAATTCTCATTAAGGAGATTATCTGCAACCCTGGTTGGATCCAGGGGTTCAAATGTTATCTCCCTCTCTTACCTTGATACCTCTCTAATCTTTTTTGTCTCACTCTGTTGCCAGACTGGAGTGCAGTGTCACGACCTCCGCTCACTGCAACCTTCCCCTCCCAGGTTTGAGTGATTCTCCTGCCTCATCCTCTCAAGTAGCTGGGACTGCAGGTGCGTGCCACCATGACTGGCTGATTTTTGTATTTTTAGTAGAGACAGGGTTTCACTAGGTTGGCTAGGCTGGTGTCAAACTTCTGACCTCAGGTGATCCACCCGCCTTGGCCTCCCAAAGTTGCTATGGTTTGAATATTTGCCCCCTCCAAAACTCATGTTGAAATTTAAACCCTGGCTGGGCATGGTGGTGCACACCTGTAGCTGTAGTCTCAGCTACTTGGGAGGCTGAGGCAGGAAAACTGGCTGAGACCAGGAGTTCAAGGCTGCAGTGAGCCACGATCATGCCACTGCACTCCAGCCTGGGTGACAGAATGAGACTTTGTCTCTTAAAAATATATAACAAATTAAAAATAAAAGAAATTTAATCCCCAATGTGGCAATATTGAAAGGTGGGGCCTTTAAGGAGTGATTGGGTCATGAGGGCTCTGCCTTGATAAATGGATTAATGGGTTATCATGGGTGTGGGACTAAGGACTTCCTAAGAGGGACTTGGGCTAGGATGCTCAGCCCCCTCACCATGTGATGCTCTGTGCCATACCTTAGTACCCTGCAGAAAGTCCCCACCAGTAAGAAGGATCTCACCAGGTATGTCCAAGAGAGTCCAAGTACCCTCTTGGACTTCTCAGCCTCTATAACTGTAAGAAATAAATTATTTTCTTTATAAATTAGCCAGATTTAGGTATTCTGCTTTAAGCAACAGAAAATGGTCTAAGATACAGGTGCTCTTCTAGTAGCAAGAAATACGGCCACTAGAAGCCTCAAGCCTACATTTTTATATTGATTGATCTAAAAGAGACCCTCTTTCTCCTGGCATCCAAACATCAAATCTCATAGAAAACTCTGGTTATCTGTACTTGTGACACATACTCAGTTCTTCAGTCTATCACAGTGGCCAGGAAATAGGGTACTCTGATCAGAGCACTGTAGCTGACAGCTCCACCAAGACCATGTTAAGTGGGAAACAAGTTTCCTACAGGAACCACAAAAAGGGTTATGGAAAAGCAGAAAAGTGGTCTGCATGAACAAAAACAGCCCACAGAAATCTACTTCATAGATTTGTCATGAGACAATCAATTTAAAGCATTTAGCATGGTGCCTGGCAGTTAAGTATCAATGAATGTTAATTACTACCATAACTGAGAGACAAATAAATGAAGGGAAACATTAATAAATGAATAATGGTTGAACATACAGACGAACAGGTGACGATGAACATATGAAAAAATAGGTGAAAGAAGGAACAATTGGCTGATGGAGAGACAAAGACGAGTGGACATATAGACACATGGATGGATGGATGGATGGATGGATGGATGGATGGATGATGGATGGATGGATGGATGGGGCAGAAAAATACAGGCAATTAAATCTGCTCTATTATATACTCTAGATCTGGAATGGGAAACAGAATAGTACTCCACAATAGTGTCTTCTGAAAGGTCTATCTCTTGGGTCTGGCAGAACAGTTCTCTGGGTGACTATACACTGACCCAGTTCTCCTCCCTTTCTCACTTGGAATGCAAAATCTTGAGATAAGGAAGAGGTGACAGAAACAGATAAAGAACAGGCTCTGTTCTAGTCCCACCCCAGAAACAGAATATCCTTCAATGTTTTAGCCTAGGAAGTCACATTGCCCTAGGGTATAAAACCCAAGGCAGGCTGCTTTCCGGAGTCCTTGGCTGCAGTGCAAGTGGAGCATAGGCAGATGAAACTTCATCTGCCCTGGGCAGCTTTCCTGAGCCTCAGGGCTGCCTCACAATTAATCCTGGGGCTCTGTTTCCCTTGCTGCCTACCTGTAAGTAATAAATCCATTTCATATAACTTGTTGGATATGTTCTCCCACTGGACTCAGACAAATTGTACACAGTGAGGCTGCTTCGTTTCCCTGTTACTCTGTGAGCTGACCAGACCCTCTCCTCAAAACTCCCTCTCAATTTCCAGGATAGGGAAGCTACAGTAGAGAATGGGGGTGTTCTAGGCCAAGTTGTCCTCCAGCTATTTTAACTCAGCTCTGGAGCACAGGAAAATGGGTCAATAAGGGAGAGGGACAGTGCTGGCTGGGCCAGGAGAGTGAAGTCCTAGAGGCCAGAGATGAGAAATAGGGGAGCTGAACCTGCTTCCAAAGAATGTTCCCTTTAGCTTCACTTTGCAAAGGAGGAATAGATCTCAGATGGTGGATATGTAGGCACTGTGATGGGCCTAGGGAGATCTGGAGAATCTGGGAGGGGACCTTCTCATCCTTACCCTGCTCCTGTGATTGTCCTCAGGGAATCTAGGAGGTGGCTATGTCCCATCTTTCCCACTCCTCCTACCCCCAGGTGTCTTAGTACTACAGAGAAGAGCTGGCAGTGAGGAACCTAGGGAAGAGACACATTCCTACCTCTGACCCTAATCTTGAACCAAACCCTGACTCCCAGCCTTGAGACCGATGGCTCAAATGCCTCCAAAGGAGCAACATCACAAACCTTGCAAATCTTCCCTTAACGGTAATAGTGCAAACTCTCCTACCCTTGTCCAAACTGCTTATTGCTGAGATTCTCAGAGCTAAAGCCAAAAAGTGAAAACCAGGTGCAGTCTACTAAGGAGAGTTGTGAAAGAGAAAAGTTTCCTCCACAAAAAGGGAGAGAGAAACGATGGGGAGATATTCAGTGGGAAGGTATTCTGCTATCAACTCATGGACTGCAATTCACTTCTGACACTAGCCACGGAGAGTTAGCACCAGACTCCACAGGTTTAAGAGAAAGGTCCCCAACAAGACTGTCCCCAATTTAGATACCAGCCACAAGTAGGGTCTCCAAGCCACCCACATTTCTGGCCAACTGGCTACAAGTCTGGGAGGTTCCCAAAACCCCTGTCAGTTTTGATAATTTGCTAGAATGACTCACAGAACTCAGGAAAGTGCTGTGTTTAGTTTATTAAGGGTGTAAATCAGAAACAGCCAAATGAAAAGACACACAGGATGAAGTCTAGGAGGGTCTCAAATGCAGAGCTTTTCTCAGTGGTTTCTCCCTGTGGAGACATAAGGTGCATCACCCTCCTGGCACATCAAAGTGTTCATCAACCAGAAAGTTTTTTTTGAGACGGAGTCTCGCTCTGTTGTCCAGGCTGGAGCACAGTGGCCGGATCTCAGCTCAACGCAAGCTCCGCCTCCCGGGTTTACATCATTCTCCTGCCTCAGCCTCCCGAGTAGGTGGGACTACAGGCGCCCGCCACCTCACCCGGCTAGTTTTTTGTATTTTTTAGTAGAGATGGGGTTTCACTGTGTTAGCCAGGATGGTCTCGATCTCCCAACCTAGTGATCCACCCGTCTCGGCCTCCCAGAGTGCAGGGATTACAGGCTTGAGCCACAGCGCCCGGTCCAACCAGAAAGTTTTATGAGTTTTGGTGTCCGGAGTTTTTATTGAGATTTTCTTACAACAGCATAACTGAATTACTGGCCACATACCTGAATTCAATCTCCAGCGCCCACTTCCACCCCAGAGGTCAGCCTGGCCCAAAGCCCAACCCTCTAATCACATGGTTGGTCTTTATGGTGACCAACCTCTAACCTGAGTCATCTCATCTCTTAGCATAAACCCAGGTGAGTTCCAAAGGGCTCATGAGTAACAAAGACACTATTACTTGGGAAATTCCACAGGTTTAGTCTCCCTCTCAGGAGCCAGGGACAAAGGCCAGTCAAATTCTTTATTACACACCAGAAGGGGAGGAAGTTTCTGAACGTAGAAAATGAAAGTTTTAGGGGGCCATAAACAGGAGACAGCCACAGCCCCCTGCAGATCCACACACACTCACTGACCCTCAGTCTTCCAAGGACTCCCTTGCCCTCATGATCATGATCCCTCTCCTGCTTGCTCTTCCCATCCAACCTCACACAGTCACACAGACTCCACACAAGCAGGCCTCTTGCTGCTCTCAGGGACTCTACTCAATTGTCCATCTCTGCTCATCCTCCATGGCCTCCTGTGTGGCACCACTCCTCTTCTCGGCATACTGGTTTTCTTGCCAGGAGTGAGTAAAATGGGGCAGGGGTTAAACGGTAAGGTGAGGGGCATAGCAGGGATCAACACGCAGGTCTCACGGGGTCTGTAAAGGAAGCTGAGTTCATGTTGTGAACCCAAAAGTATCTGAGACAGGTCTCAATCAATTTAGACAGTTTATTTTGCCAAGGTTGAGCACACACTCATGAGATGACACAGCCTCAGGAGGTTCTGACAACACGTGCTAAAGGTGGTCGAGGCACAGCTTGATTTTATACATTTTGCGGAGACATGAGACATCAATCAATACCTGTAAGATGTTACACTGGTTCAGTCTGGAAAGGCGGGACAACTCGAAGTGGTGGCTTCCAGGTCATAGGTAGATAAGAGACAAAAGGCTGCATTCTTTTGGGTCTTTGATCAATCTTTCACTGACTACACAATTTACATGGAGTGGGGAGTAAAGGAATAGTCACACTGATGCCTTAGTCTGGCTCAGTGAATCTGCATTTTTGCATAAACAATAGGGCAGAAGAAGCAATTAGATATGCATTTGTCTCAGGTGAGCAGAGGGATGACTTTGCGATCTGGCCATTGTACTGCACCTGTGAAGATAAGCTATCAGTTTACATTGTCAGGGTGAAATTCAACACAACCGTCTTAAGGTAAAGATCTTGAGGCCCACAAGGAATTTCCCTGTGGACCAATTGTGAGGGAGGTAAGTAGTTTTTTTTTTATCTTTGTAGTTATCTCTCTTAGGAATAAAATGAGAGGCAGGTTTGCCTGACACAATTCCTAGCTTGACTTTCCCCTTGGCTTAATGATTTGGGGGTCCTGAGATTCATTCTCCTTTCACAACGTCAACATCCAGGTCCAAGTATGAACCTGAGACTGTACATATGCCAAATGGATGTGCCCTTGTGATGACTGTACATCCTGTGTGACATGGGTATACCTGTGCATTGTGTGTATTCCTTTGCAGTCTATGTGTGTGCCTGTGTGGTGTGGGTATGCCTTTGTGTGCACCTGTGTGATATAGATGTGCCTGTACCCCAGCTGTTCCTGTATGTATCAGTGCCTGGATGGGTCCTGGAGCCATCTGGCTGCTCTTCTCTTTATAGGCTCTGTCTCTCTAGCCTGCTCTTCCCAGAGGAAGAAGAGAACAGTGCATGTGGGTGGAATAGAGAGCAACACTAAAGCTCTGGACACAGATATCCCAAGTTCCAGTCAGGGCTATGGCCTTCCCATCTTAAGCCCTAAAGCTAATACTCACTCCCTAGCTCTGGGTGATACCAACAATTCTGAGGACTCTGCCTCTTACCAAATCAACACCCAATTCCTGGGGACATTTTTGGTGCCTTCTGCTACCTCCTCTTCAGGGATGGCTGCAGGGCACTTTGTCCTATGAGTTGGGGTGGAGAATGTCCAGTCTCCTCCCCTCCCAATCACTTCCTCCATCATCCAGGTCTCCATTCACCATCTTACTTCCTTCACTTCTCCTTGCCCAATCCCTCCCACAAGGAATCCCCTAAAACAGGTTCCCAGATGTGGTCCCCAGCATCTGCCCCTCACACCAGGGCCTTTCAGGAAGATGAGTTCTATGGCTCCATTCTCTCTGACTCCAAATTCACCACACTGAGAGGCAACCTCCAGACCAGCCCTGGATGTATTGTACCATCTGGAGACTGCAGAAGACCTCTGCCAAGGCAAGTCTGGCCCTCCCCAGTCCTGTCTGCCCCCTCTGAGCCCCATCTAAGATTACAGCCCATGGCCCTTTCTCTCCTTCCTTTCCCAGAGCAAGAGCCACAGCAGTTAGGCCATGGGAGTGCCAGAGAGAGCCCTGGCCTGGGAAACAAAGGACCAGAAGAGAAGACCAGGCCTCTAGTTCCTCGGCACCAGACCTGACCCAGCCAGGCCTGGAGTGAACGTGAGTGTGAATGTGAGTGAAAGGGTGAACGTTGTGAAAAGCACAGATTCACAACTCCCAGACTGCAGTGCTTCCAATAAAACCACCTAGCACCTATGAATCTGTCTGTCTTGCTATCTGTATGTGGCTCAGGTAAGGGAAGTCAAGTATGAGAGGGAGAAAGAGGGCGAGATGGGTGAGAGAAGACAGGTATCCATTCCTCACATTTCAACCAGAGGAAACTTTCACCCCACTTATTTCTGGTCACTCCCTCCTATACAGTCGGCCTAGCCCCAAGACTGTCTTTCCCCTTACTCAAACCAACTATGGCTCAGTATCAGGCCTTGGCTGGGATGTTAGAGGTCTGGGGCAGCTATTTCCAACCTCCCACACTGGGTTAATTGCCCTTTCTCGGCACCTTCTACTTCTTCCCGCCAGTCTGCCCCATTTATTGTAAGAATCTGACTATTCTCTTTTGATCCTCCCAGCTCTACCCCTACCTCTCAGAGGGCAGAGGTGGTGCCTGTCTTGTTTGTTGTTTGTGGGGTTTTTTTGTTTTTTTGGTTTTGTTTTTTTTTTTTTTTTGAGACGGAGTCTCACGCTGTTGTCCAGGCTGGAGTGCAGTGGCGCGATCTCGGCTCACTGCAAGCTCTGCCTCCCGGGTTCACGCCATTCTCCTGCCTCAGCCTCCTGAGTAGCTAGGACTACAGGCGCCCGCCACCGCGCCCGGCTAATTTTTTGTATTTTTAGTAGAGACGGGGTTTCACTGTGGTCTCGATCTCCTGACCTTGTGATCCGCCCGCCTCGGCCTCCCAAAGTGCTGGGATTACAGGCTGGAGCCACCGCGCCCGGCCATTTTTTTGGTTTTTTTTGAGACAGAGTCTCGCTCTGTGGCCCACGCTGGAATGCAGTGGCATGCTCTCAACTCACTGCAACCTCCACCTCCCAGGTTCAAGCAATTCTCTGCCTCAGCCTCCCAAGTAGCTGGGATTACAGATGCCTGCCACCACGCCCAGCTAATTTTTGTATTTTTAGTAGAAACAGGGTTTCACCATCTTGGCAGGCAGGTCTTGAACTCCTGACCTTGTGATCCACCCACTTCGGCCTCCCAAAGTGCTGGGATTAAAGGCGTGAGCCACCGCGCCCGGTCACCTGTCTTCTTTACTACTACATTCTCATGCCCAGCACAGTGCCTGACACACAGATGGTCATTCAGCAAATATCTGTTGATTGACTGTAGGGAAAAAAAACATATCACAGGAAGATAGGTCTCAGGCCAGAGAGGAAGGGCAATGACCCTCTGGACATTCAGTGGCTTAGCTGAGGCCACTCAACCAGGTATTTCCGTAGCCTGGCCTTTTCTAGACTGGACTCTCTCTGAGGACCTATTCCTCCTCAGCCCAGGGTCATACAAGACCTCTCTCGGCAGGCAAGAGAGGCACTTGGCAGGGCAGAAGTCAGGGACGGGTAGAGGAGACGTGGGGATTGGGAAAACTTTTCTTGCTGCCTGGTGCAGAAGCCTCGGCCTCCCAAGGTGTAGCTCCAAAACCTGACTCCACACCTGTAAAAGAGGGTCCTTTGCCCGCATCTTAAACAACCAACTCCGCCCCTGGCCTCACCCCCTAAGATGACGTTTCGACTTCGCCTCCTCTGGAAGACATGCAGACCCCACCCCTTCCGGGGGACAGGCAAATCTAGTGCGCGACGGCATCCCTGTGACGTAATGGTAACGGTCCGTTTCCGGGGTGGAGCCAGGGAGGGCGGGAGTTTAGGCTGCGCTGACCCCTCTCAGCCCCCCCTCCAGGTGACCCCAGCCCCTGAAAATCCTCACCCAGGGCCCCAAATCTCCCAGCCCCATGACCGCCAAACCTCTCGCCCTGGCCCCCTAAATGCCCCAGGCCCCGGAGATGACCGGCCTCCTCACCCCTTAACTTCCAGTGCCTCCCAAATCTCCAAGCCCACCCTGTCCCGTGGTGGCAACTGAGGCTTCCTGGGGGCATCGGCCTCAGATTACCTGAGAACTGGGCAGCCTCGTCCTGAGCATGACGGAGAAGGGGACCTGGGGCTAGGGAATCCCTGATTGAATCATGCCGCTCCCCAGGAGACGTTCGGAGCCCAGGACATGTCGGGAATGAGGAGATACGAAGTGGCGCTGGAGGCGGAGGAGGAGTGAGTGGAGGCGGGTTCTGCGGAGGAGGAACCAGGCGGCTCCGGGGTGGGGGAGGGTGGAGTTCTGCGGGGGCGAGGGGTGGGCGGGGCGAGCCTCCGAGGGGCGTGGGCTGCGAAGGGTGCCGATTTTAGGGGCGGGGCGGAGCCTTCCTCGAGGGCGAGGCGCCGTGGGGCGGAGTCTGTGGGGTCAGCTCCGCCCCGCCCCGCCCCGCCCGCCTCTGCCCTCTCTCTGCAGGATCTACTGGGGCTGTTTCTACTTTTTCCCCTGGCTGCGCATGTGGCGGAGGGAGCGGAGGTGAGGGGGCTGCGATACCGCGGGCCAGCCCCGGGCATGGACGAGACTCAGTCTCTGAGGACCCATCGGGGGGATTCCGGTAGCTCCCGCCCCGCCTCATGCCAGTGTCGGGTCGCCCCACAGCTCGGCGCACCCCGGGGAGCAGAAGCTGGAGCCTCTGCGAGGCCTGATGAGCTGTCTGTCCAGCGGCCTGGGCCCTGCTCCCCAGCGCTCGGGTCGTAGCCTCCCCCGCCGCAGCCCCACCGCCGCTGCCCAGCCAGCCAGTGCATTAAAGATTTAAACCGAAGCCCACCGTACTGACCTCCTGACTCTGCCGCCGCTGTCGCCATTCGAGCCGAGCGCCCCTCCCCACACTGGCTCTGTTCCGTACTGACAGGGCGTCCCTCCCTAAAAGGGTGCCCTTCCACGTCAAAGCCCCTCATCAGTGTCAGGCCTCCTGTTACTATCAATGACTGTCTCCCCCAACCCCATGCCCCAAAAACCCATACTGTGAATAGCCTATATGAAGAGAACTAAATAATCCTGCCTGTTACTCCCTTCCTCCGAGCCAGGACTTTGCCAACTGTCTGAAGAATCTTCTCTGCTGGGAGTGTATCTCAAAACATTTTAAACAGAGGTGTAGGATGCAGGCTGTAAATGAGAAGAGGGGGAGATTCCTAGAAGCTGCCTGCCACAGAGGAGGGACTTGGGTTGGTGACCTTTCCTACAGTTCATACCCCAACTTTTGGCTCCTCCAGTCTGATCCCAAGTTTAGAGATCCTTGGCATCAGCCTACCTAGCAGTTCTTGCTCCCTCCCTAGGAGAGTCCAAGGGCCACTGCTCTCTGCCGCCCCCTTCTGTCACCCAATCAGTCTGGGACCCACTAACTCAAGTGATGAGAATCAGAGGCTGCTATGTGGGCCTACCTTCAGTTAGGGACTGGACCCAGCACCAGAAAGGGCACCACAAGATTAAGTTAAAGAAAGAGACAGCCCAGTTTCTGGCTGGGGCCAAAGCTTTCAGCCTGCAGCTACCCCTGCTACTGCAGATTTTGGCTAGGGAGAAGACTTGGTCTTAAAGGGGAGAGGTGGGTGCACACCCAGAAGCATTTGCTTTCTGCCTTCCGAAGGCCTCTGGACCAACAAGTCCAGGAAAGACCAGAAAGTATGTATCGCACAGCCAACTGATGGAGAAGGTCTTTGATAAGACCGAGGAACCTGGGAGATTTCCTTGGGATTTCCTCAGTGGCTACACCCAAGCCTCGGAGTGCAAGAGAAAGGCCTAAGCCCTATCCCAAGAGAAAGCCTACTCCATAGAGAGTGGCTGACCCTACAACAGATGACTGCAACAAGATAAGGGCTGGATTACTGCTTTATGACTTAGTTTATGTTTCAAATATAGAGCAGGACTTGCAGATTGAGATCCCTGGACCAGGAGTGGGAAATTCTTCAAGGAGCCAGGGGCACTGAACTTGGCAGCATACCCCCACCCTAGGCAGTTCCCAGCTTCCTGGAAAGGACTGGATAAAGATGAATAGGAGCTTTACATTGAGGAAGGGGGTAAAGAACAGCTGGGTATGGGATTAGGAGAGAAGTGGCTATAGCTGGAGGGTGGGATGCAGGGGGGTATAGGAGTTGGACATAAGGGTGTGACTGAATCTGGGTAGGGAGGGGGGATGTTCCTCCAGGCCCAGGAAAGGGCTGGAATTTGAGTAGAACAAAGATGTAATTGAGTACTTGAGTCTGATGTCTTCAACAAGTCAGGGACTGGATCTGGAGACCCTAGGCCCCTGCTGGCAAGAGGTTGGCATTCCTGGAACAGGACTAGACAAAAACAGGAAGGTAAGATTCATTGGGCCTTTTACCTGTTTTGACAACAGTAACCTAGCACCAAAGAGCTTTTATCTTCCCTCCTTATCTACCCCACCTTTCCTCCTTGTCTCATCATCCTGGGGAAAGCTGCCACACCTCAGCATCTCCAAAGCACCCTCAATATTACCAAAAAGGGCCTTCCCCCAGCTTCTCTGAATGTGGCTGGCCTCAGCCAAGACCCATCCTCAGCCAGAAGAGCCTGCTCTAGGAACGCATTCCCATCAGTTTCTCCTGATAAGACAGTCAGGTCAGGCCAGGAAGTGGGGAGGAGAAGATGAAGGCAAGCTGGTGCTCGCCTGCCCTCTGCTCCCACCCCACCCAGAACTCCCCTATCAGAATCTGTGTGTGCTAGTGTGAATTTGCTTGTGATTGGATGACTGTGAAAACACAACTGGGTGGGATTGGGACTTTGAGTATAACTGGGGCTATATAATTTTGTCTATGGTTGTCTGATCACGAGTATGACTTTGTGAGGTTGATCGAGTGATTGAGGAGTGACTTCGAATGTGTGGCTATGCATATTTGAGTGTGAATGTCTATCATTAGAGGTTGCTGTGGATGCTTGACTGCCCTTACTCACTGTTCTATCAGTCCCTACATCACACACTAATCCTTCCCTCAGCTTCACTGCCCAGAGCTTAGGAACACATGGGAAATGGCTGTCCTAGATGAGGAAGGAATCTGTGGCAACAGACCAAGAATTAGGGCCCAGGAATGTCACAGGATACACAATACATCTCCAACCACCTCTGACTCACCTAGTGCCCCAGGTAAAAGGCACCCAGATAAAAGGTAGGGGAGGAGGAGAGAGAGAGAAGGAAGAGTCTAGGCTGAGTAAACATGAAGGGGCCCTCAACCTTCTGCAGTCTCCTGCTCCTGTCATTGCTCCTGAGCCCAGACCCTACAGCAGGTGAGTACTTGGGGGTATAGAAAGCTGGGGGTCTGGGTGAATGGGATGAAGTTGAAAAGAACCAGGAAATCCAACCTAACCTCCAGCTGTCTGGCAGAGAGGTTCTTGGTCAGGATCCCTCTGAACACATGGCCCTGTTGCCCTCTAGCATTCCTACTGCCACCCAGCACTGCCTGCTGTACTCAGCTCTACCGAAAGCCACTCTCAGACAAGCTACTGAGGAAGGTCATCCGGGTGGAACTGCAGGAGGCTGATGGGGACTGTCATCTCCAGGCTTTCGTGTGAGCTCCCACCCCTGATACCCCTGACTCTGACCTCAGTCCCAACCCCTAATGCTGATCCCAACCCCAGCCCTAACTGCTAATTCTGATGCCAACTCAGGTTTTCATCTGGTCCTTGCTCCTAACCCCTGGACCCTAATCTCATCCCCAAGCTATGGCCATAGCTTTGTACCTTTCTCTACCCAGGCTTCACCTGGCTCAACGCAGCATCTGCATCCACCCCCAGAACCCCAGCCTGTCACAGTGGTTTGAGCACCAAGAGAGAAAGCTCCACGGGACTCTGCCCAACCTGAATTTTAGGATGCTAAGGAAAATGGGCTGAAGCCCCCAATAGCCAAATAATAAAGCAGCATTGGACAATAATCTCTAAGTACAATCTCCAAGAACTTCCTTATTCTCTTTATTCACAACTGCGCAACCCCTGCAAGGGGAAAGGCCAAGAGCCAAGGACCCACACACACTCCCCAGGCACCTACATACATGCATGCAGAGAATATATGTTCCCTGCCTCACAGACACATGGTCACACATGGACACAGATGTACACATTACACACATTCCTCGAGCAGAACTCCAACTCTGGGGTGAAATCAGAGGTACAGGCACCTTTCAGCTGGCAAATTTGAAATACAGGGTCTCACAGAAATGGGCTCCAAACAGAACTTCCAGCTGAGACCCAACCATAGGGATCTACTGTCCATCCATCCACACCAGCAAGACAGAATTATAGGTGGACTCTGCCGAAGCCCTCCTGGGTCCTCTATAGGTTTGGAGCTCCTAAAAGAAGCAGGAGGCAAATCAGGAAAGACAGTAGGACTGGATCTTGGCCCAGACACCCTGAGAATGAAGGAGGTGACTCAGTTCTAAGCTTAACATTCTGAAGATGAGTAGAGGAGCCCAGCTCTGAGGGAGGCTCTTCAACACGCTGAAGATAAGGGAGTGGACCTAGCTGTGGGCCCAGGCACATTAGGAATGAGGGAGGGGACCCAGCACTGATCCAAGACACCTGGAAAAAAAAGGATGAATATCCAGCTCTGAGTATAATACCCTGGAGGAGTATTAATACTAATACCCTGGAGGGGAGTCCATCTGGGGTCCTTCCTCGGTACCCTGAGAAAAGGGGAAGTGACCCACTTCTTAGCCCAGGGACTCAAGAATGAAAGGCCTAGCCCTCAGCCTAGACATCATTAAAATGAGGAGACCCAACTTGGATTCCCAGCATTTTAAAAATGACTAGGGCAGCCAGCTTTTAATCTGGACACTCAAAATAGGGGCACACATATCCAAGTACAAATCTCCTGGATGTCCTACTCACCTGGACGCCTGTCCACTGGAATCATTGGGGCCAAGAACCCAGGCTTTGGGGATCCATCCTTCCCGCCCCGTCTCATCCTCAGCCTGGGGCATAGAAAGGTAGCTGTCTCTCCAACAATGTGGGGTATCTCAGTCTCCTCCAAAGGGTTTATTAGTAAAGGGTCAGGAGAGGAATCAGTTAAAATCAAGTGGGGCATGGGGGATGGAGGTGTGGGGAGGTAGTTCCAGAATCAGACAGGTTCAGTGGGCAGTCATGAAGGGTGGAGATGAATGTGGTCTATGGACATCAGAGCATTTGTGAGGATCAGAGGCTGAGGGACCGATGGCAGTCACTTACCAGAGCCCCAGTGCCAGGGCTCCAGCCATCAGTCCCAGGAAAGAAAGGATTCCCAAAGACGCCAGCACAGCTACCTGCTCCACAGAGTCCCTGTGATCTAAGAGGGAGGGCCACATGTTACTGAGAGCAAGGCTGACCAAGCTTGGTGTCCCCTTTTCTCTGGGGTTTTCACTCCTTTACAACTCTTGCCCATCTGCCCAAGCTCACCAAGTAGCCGAGGGTGTGGTTGGAGGGAGGGGCTTGGAGGAGCAGGGCTGTCCACCTGAGGCTCCACCTCTGGCTGCATGTGTAGCTGGCCCCAAGCTGGTACCTCCTTTGGTACGGTCCCTAAGGGAAGGCAAGACACAATAAGTGTCCATCCACTGGTGGGGATGGGGGTCACGTCCTGCGCTCAAGGCCAAGGCCTAGATTGGAAGTCAACCCTCCTAGGAGGAGGAGCCTGATAGGGCATGGCCAGTTCCTAGGGAGCATCGCAAGCTCCAAGCTTGTAGAAGTGGAGCCTGTAACTGCAGGGGTGGAGGCCAAGGGGAAGGACTTAAGCTAAGACAGGGCTGTAGGCAAACAAGAATGAAGTCTGGGACAGTAACTGCGGTGCCTGCATGGGCAGGGCATATGTCACCTGGCTGTCTTTTGGAATTGGTTCAGCTGATAGATGCTTTGGGGTGGGACCTCTGCCCTTTTCTTTGGCTTTGTCTCTCACCAGTGCTCGGAGTTCCCCAGGCCTCCGGGCTCCAGGTGCTCCAGGTGCCAGCATCCAGAAAGTCCCGGGCACTGACTCGTACGGCATGGGGCAGCCCAGCCACAGCATCTGTGATCATCTCCTCCAGTCCAGCTGGCTCCACCTGGGGGTAAACATGACTCATTGTTACCCAGCTTGTAAGTGCAGGGCCTTCCCAGCCACCTTCTGCAAAGAGCACCCCTTGCTCCCAGTCTCATCCTAAAGCCTAGTAGAGCTGTCCAGGTCTCATGTTGGGTGTCTGGTGGGGCTGAGTCTACACCTAGTGTTTGTAAGACAGCAGTAGTGATTACTTAGAGAGGCTGTGGCATCAGGCAGCCTGGGTTCAAATCTTTGGTGAACCACATATTGAATGACCCTTTGGGCCTCTCTGTGACTCAGTTTCTTCATTTGTAAAATAGAGGTGAATATACCTAAACAAAACAATGTATGCAAAAAGTGTAGCCAGGAACCCCACAGGAAGGCAGCACTAAGTAAATATTAGTTATTATCTGATGCTGCTGCTCCCCAGTCCTGATACCAGCCAACCTTTAACATCTCCTGAGATTCTAATTCACTGCTATCCTCAGCTGGGGATATGAGTGTTTGTAGGAGACGTGCCTCTAGGTAAGGCACTCCTTTTCCTAAGAGTTATTTTTAGGCTGGGCACCATGTCTCACACCTGTAATCCCAGCACTTTGGGAGGCCGAGGTGGGCGGATCATGAGGTCATGAGTTCGAGACCAGCCTGGCCAATATGGTGAAACCCCGTCTCTACTAAAAATACAAAAATTAGCCAGGCATGGTGGCAGGCACCTGTAGTCCCAGTTACTCAGGAGGCTGAGGCAGGAGAATTGCTTAAACCCAGGAAGCGGAGGTTGCAGTGAGCCGAGATCATGCCACTGCACTCCAGCCTGGGTGACAGAGCGAGACTCCTTCTCAAAAAAAAAAAAAGAGTGATTTTTTTTTTTAAAGCCATTGCTATCTTCCCACAGATGGGCTTCACATCTTAGTTATAGCCCCACAGGACAGACACTCCATCTGTCAGTCACCACTGCAACCCAGCACCCAGTACAAAGCCTGGCCCACAGGGAAGTGTTGGGTCTTCAGTGACCTGCCAGCGCTGGGAAGCTACACAGAACACCCAGGATCATGAAATCAGAGATAGGACCCACAGCCGCGGGTTGGGACGCACTCCAGGCCTCACCGTGGACCAGGCTGGATGCTGTGCCGGACGGTACTGCAAACGGAACTTGAGCAGGAAATGGGGCTGGCGCGGCCAGGAGGCAGGGTATGTCCAGCTGGCTCGCAGGCGTCGGGGGAAACCTGGTACCGACTCTACCCGCAGGCCCTGGGGTGGGTCAGGGCGCACTAAGGGCGTCAAGACACAAAGTCAGGGTAGGCTATGGGTCCCTGTCACTTCCCTACCACTTTCCAAAGTGTGTGTTTAAAGGAGCCTTAGCCAGACACTCCTGAGAGGGGAGGGGAAATCTTAAACTTGATCATTCATTAGACTCAGACCGGTCATCTGTATTATGAAATGGGCTGAGGCCGGGTGTGGTGGCTCATGCCTGTAATCCCAGCACTTTCGAAGGCCAAGGTGAGAGGTTCACTTGATGCCAGGAGTTTGAGACCAGTGTGGGCAACATAGCAAAACCCTGTCTCCACAAAAAATTTTAAAAATTAGCCAGACATGGTGGCACATGCCTGTAATCCCAGCTACTTGGGAGGTTGAGGTAAGGGGATAGCTTGAGCCCAGGAGTTGGAGGCTGCAGTGAGCCAAGATCACGCCACTGAACTTCATCCAGGCTGGGCACAAAGACCCTATATCAACAAAAAAAGGAAGAAAAAGAAAAAAAGAAACCACCTGAGATCTGTGGGTGGGCTTTTGAAATGCTTGTTGAGTGAATAAAAGAGCAATTCTTATTTTCATCTAAGGAAGATGAATTGGCCCAAATTCCAGCTAGAGTTTTAGTGTCCCACTCCCATGCACAGGTCAAGGAAGGAGGGGCTAGCAAGGCAGGACATGACATATGGCTGCATTCAGTACAGGGCCCAGAGCAGGGCCTGCTCTGCGGCTAGGCAGCCAGTCAGGCAGTGTGGGTAGCAGTAGCGGCCTCTAGAGTGTGTGCTGAAATAACCATGCCTCCTGGGCTCTGATCCCTTTGCCTTCTCAGGCTCCACAGGGCCTTCTGTGTGTGAAATGGCGTCTATGTTGGGAGGAAACTGTTTGGGATCTCTGGGAGTGGAGAGATCTGAGTCCATTTGGGGTCTCTGTGATGGGGGTCTGGGGGAGGTCTAGGGGTGGGTACTCACAGATGCTCTGCAAGCTCACATCCAGCAGGCGTGTGCTGGCGCCCAGTGGGTTCACCTCAGTCACATTAATCCGGTACTGGCTCCAGAACTCAGCCCCGTGGACAACACAGCGGGCAGCACCTAAGGGATCCTGTGGGCATGGCCAGGGCCCTGTGGATGGACTCCTCCTAGAAGGGAGGACATGGTCTTGGGCTCTGAAAATGCCTACTGTGGGACCCAGCTGGAGCCCCCACATGCTCCCTCATGTCCTACCTCTGGCTATCAGCTCCTAGAACTGTCTTCTTCCTGGTGGGGAGGGGGCCGTCTGAAGTCATGAAGGAAAAGAGGGCCTTTTGCCCTCTCTGAGGCTTTCCTCAGAACCTACCTCCCTGCTTCCCACACCCATGTTGTGCCAGCATACCCAAATGTGTAGGCATCCACACCCGATCACGCACACACCTGTAGGAGGTGAGGTAGCGGGTGGGTAAACCGCTGATCTGGCTGGGACTCCAAGTGCAAGAGAAGTTCTCATAGTCAGCTGCTTGGCAGGAGACAACAGGGCGGGCTGGAGGGTCTAGAGGCAGAGGGTACACCTGGAGACTGAGCAGTCCTCAGGTCCTCCTGGTCCCAGAGGGCTTATTCAGGTCCCATACTCCCTCAGGATCCTCTTGTGTCATCACTGCCACCCTCCCCAACTCACAGCCCAGCTGCAGGGTCACTGTGCCCCCAAGTGCACCATCCAGCGTCTGGCAGATGTAGGTGCCCTCATCAGTGCTGTCTGCCTGGGTCAGGACCAGTTCATGCCCTAGCCCAGAGTCAGGTCCCTGGAGCAGCCTTGGCTCCCCGTCCCGAAACCAGGACACTGGGTCCCTGGAAGTAAGATGAGGTGACAATGGACAAAGACAAGATGTCAAGCGTAAGTCAGACCATGCCACAGCTCTCCATTGGCTTCTAACTGCATTTGCAATAGAACCCAAATTCCTTTTACTGGCTTTCAAAGCCCCTTGTGAGCCAGCCCTTGCCTTCCTTTCCTTCTTCAGCTCCTCTCTGTCTCCCCCTCACCCACTGAAAACTCCAGCTACATTGGTCTTCTTTCTATTCCTTGCGAGTATTGAGCTCATTCCCACCTCAGGGCATTTTGCACTAGCTGTTCCCTCTGTCAGGAGCACTTATACCTTAATGTGCGCACGGCTGCCTCCTTCCTGACCTTCAGAAATCAGCTTCAACATCACCTCCTCAGAGAGACGTTTTCTAACTACCAATTAAAAAGTAACCACAGGCCAGGCGCAGTGGCTCACGCCTGTAATCCAGCACTTTGCAAGGCTGAGGCGGGTGGATTACTTTAAATCAGGAGTTCGAAGCCTGACCAACATGGTGAAATCCCGTGTCTACTAAAAATACAAAAAAATTAGCAGGACCTGGTGGTGCGTGCCTGCAATCCCAGCTACTTGGGAGGCTGAGGCAGGAGAATCACTTGAATCCAGGAGGCAGAGGTTGCAGTGAGCCCAGATTGCACCACTGCACTCCAGCCTGGGCAACAGAGTGAGACTGTCTCAAAAAAATAAATAAATAAATAAGGTAACCACTCAGTTGTCCTCTTCAACATCCCTCTCTTTGGCTTTTCTGCCCTGCAGGTATTACTATCTGGCAAGATTCTCCTTTGCTTATTGTCTTCCCCACTAAGATGTAAGCTCCGTGAAGGCAGGCACCTTGCCTGGCATTAGCACTGCTGTATCCCAGAGCCTAGAATAGACCTGGCACTTGGCAGGTGCTCAAAACATACCAGCTGAATTTTCTGTTGAATAAGGATGGTTAGAGGGTTAGGACAGATAAGAGAGGTGAGGATTACGGACAGAGCAGGCAAGGATGGGAGGAGTGGGACATGAGGACTAGGCAAAGTCAAGAAAGGGTCATGAGTGTCAGACCAACAGGCTGGGGGCACTTACCCAGCAGTCACTCCAGGACAACACAGCTTCACGGACCTGCCGGGCTGCCCATACTGGACCCCTGTGGAGGGCACTTCTGAGGTGAGGCTCTTCCTTTACCCCCCTCCCCACTTTGTGAGAATGGCAGATAAGAAGCAGACTGTTAAAACCTGGGTGGTGGGGGGCTCACTGGATCAAAGCATCATGTTATAATCTGGAGACAGAGGTCAGAGAACAGGGTAGAGAGGGGACCTAGGTTGGATGACAGGGGCAGCGGTGGTGTCACAAGTTAGGCATGGGAAGGGGCCACAGTGAGGGTGGCAAGTCACAAGTCAGAGTTGGGGGGTTGTAGAGCAGGGTTCTTCTCACCTGGGGGGCCCCAGGCCTGGGGGCAGGAGGAGGAGGCAGACACCAGGGCTGTAGCCACGGCCACCAGGACCCTGCTCAGCCCTGAGCAGCCGCTGCTCATCTGTGGGGAGAGGTAGAGTCAGAAATCCCCGACCCCTGAGAAGGGAGGCTAAAGCCTGGCTCTTCCTCTCCAAAACTGAGCCTTCCTAGAGAAAAACTGATGCATCAAGTGGGGTAAGGCTGTTAGAAATCACTGGAGGAACTGATCTGAGGTCCCCTTTCCCACCGTATACCCAGTGCTTTGCATGTGCGCACACACACACACACGGACACACACACCCCCTCACACCCTCCATCTCAGTCCTGGGCTTAGGGCCCAGAACAAAAGCCGGAGGCAACAGACTGTGCCAGCAACTCCCCCTCCACCGCCCTTGGCGCCCACCCCTGGCACCAAGCACTGGCACCAGCTCAGCCACTCCCATTAACCCCTCCAGTCCAGCTGTTGGGAATTCTGGTATTTACCCCCACCTGGTCCAGGGCTTATCACCACCGCTGATTAACCTGGGCAGACCTTATCACCCTGGGGGAAGGCTGTCATCATGGATCTGAGCCCATCTGGCACTCTCACCCTGAGGCCTACCCCTGCTCTGGCTGCCAGGCTTCTCGCCTGAACCTGGCTCCTTGCTCTGGCTACTTGGGCCACTCAGCTGGGCCTGGCTCTGACACTTCGTTGGTCTCCAGTCTGTGAAGCTGGATGGGGCTAGGGTGCAGGCTGGGGCTGTGTAGTTAAGCAGATCCAGATGCCCTGGCTGCTGCCAGAGGCTGGGGGTGGGTGAGGAGCCAGCAGATGGAGATGGAGACAGGGTGGCGGGGAGGGGAGGGGAGGGGAGGGAAGGGGAGGGGAGGGAAGGGGATGGGAGGCTGAGAGGAACTGGGAGCCTGCAGGAACAGGCATGGGGGCCACAGCACCAAGAGATACTCAGAGATCAGGACTAGGAGGTGATGGGGCAGTGTGGGAAGTGTTGGAAAGACTGGATTGAGGTCGGCGGAAACTCAAAAAGCTAACAGTGTGTCTATATTGCAGGTGGGGGATGCTAGGAGAGAGAGATTCTGGACGAGGGGGAGCAGAAGGAGGAAGGCAGTGGTGAAGTGGATGGAGAACGAAGGGGCAGGCAGGGAAAAGGTTCTGGGTACAAGACCAGAAAAGGAAGAGCACGGACCCTTCAGGAGTAGTAGAGCAGAGCAGGGCCTCCATGTGTCTGTGTGTCTGTCTGAGTGTGTCCAGTTGGCTCACCCCTGGCCACCCAGCCACACTTACCCTGCTTAGCCCCACCCTACCTCGGTGATCCCAGCGGCAGAGTGTCCATGGCCTCCAGGACTTCTCACCAGCTACAGCCCCCGTCTCCTACTCCACTCAGTTCTGGGACCCCAAAGCCATCCCCTCCTTCCCCTTCCCTGCCCCGCCCCCTCTAAGCCCTGGAGCTCCGCCGCCCCTAGCCAGGCCCCCTCCCCGCTTCTGCCTCCTCCCTCCTTCCCTCCCACCCAAGGCCCTGTGAAGGGAAGAGGCCTCCCCCAAGTCTGGAAAGGAAGCCACAGACACAGCCAAGGCCAGCAAGAGGGAAAGGAGGGTGGCTAATACTTATGTCCCTGTCAGTGAGAGATGCCCTGTGTTTTCACACAGCCAGACATAGTCACATTCACACATGGACTCATGACGCACAGTTAACAAAAGGGCATGCCTTTGAACACACGTGGACACAATCAAATGAAAAATCAGATATAAACTCCTCCTCTTTTCACTCCTCACCAAATGTTTCCTTAGGGCACAGCTGGCTGTGCTTCCAGGGGAAAGGAGGCCCCAAGTTGGGGGATATAAGGAGAGGCCAAAGAGTGCAGTTCCCCCTCCCCTGGAAGTTCCAGCCATTTCTCACCTCCCCCTCCACTCTTTGGGCCCCAGCACCAGGAAATGCCTTTGGTCCCTTGGTGCCAGATACACAAGACCCACAGTTACCCTCAGACTTACACACTCTCACATGCGGTCACTCACAGTCACACAGGCACAGCCACACAGCCTCAGACTCAGATACACTTACACATATTCATAAACTCACGCAGTCACACACATACACAGCCCCCTACCAGGGCTCACAGCACCGCCTAAAAGCAACTCCTCATCATGGTCTAAGCCCCCTCTCTCAGGGAGCTCTTAGCAGTGGCAGACCTGCATCTCATCACTGTTACAGGCCCCCAACTAGCCAAAGAGATCAAGATCAGCAGGGAAGGCAGGCATAGGGGCACAGGGAGAAACAAAGAGACAGGAGAGGCAAAACTGGAAATGCACCCACACAGAGACCAGGGGAACAAAGCTATGAAGAAACACGCAGAGATATCCCTAGTAAGACAGCAACAGGGAGAGAAAACGGCATGTAAGGGAAACTGAGTCAAGCAGGGAAACAGAAAGTAAGGAGCAGTAGACCTGATGCTGGGGATTCTTGAGCAGAGGAAGAAGGAGGGGAAGCCACGTGTGTTGTGGGTGTGTCCGTCCATGCTGGACACTTAAGAGAAAGGTCAGTCCCATGGGCTCTTGAAGTAGGTCCCCCAATACATGAATACAGCTGTACTCCCACACGGTTTAAGTTAGGACCCAGCACACACACATAGTCACAAACCTCACTTTTGCTCTGCTACTGCTGAAGTCACACATTGGCACACACAAAGCCAGCCACCCACTCTCATGCTGGCAGACATGGTCTCAAACCCCACAGAGACCTTCCCAAAACACATTCCCTAATGTGGTCACAGTCCCTCTCACACAAACACACAACCCAGTCCCACCAAAAATGTGCATTGACAGATACACACATAATCCCACACTTGCACAGCCACATGCAGCCCCAGCTCCATGTACACTGACACACGCAGTCACATTAGCTGACAGCTGCACCAAGTGACACTCAGAATCGCACACAATGATACTGTCACACAGACACAGACTCACAGGCACACACACACTGACAGTCGTCAGTCACTCTCGGCCTTTCAGATCATACATCACCCTGCCCCGCCCACTCGTGACAAGACTTTGGCGTCTACACCAGGCCTCACCTTCCGCGGCCGCTGCCGCCAGCGCCCTCTGCCCTCGCCCTCTGCCCCGGCCTCTACTCCCTCCCGCCCTGGGCCCCCGCAGTGGGGGCGGCTCCGCCCAGACGCCAATGGAAGGAGAGGAGTGAAATAGGGGGGCTCCTGGCCCATTGGAGACTCCAACTGCCAATCACCTCCACCCCCACCTCCGCCGGACACTTCCTGTCCCGTCCCGGACTGAAGAGGCTGCCGGGGACAGAGTCTGGAGCTGGATTCCTGGGTCTCCGCCTGAAGGCCTATCCACCCTGGAACAGCAGGACTGGAAACAAGAGCCACTGGCCAGGTGATTGGAGAAGCTGAAGGTGCCCCTGACTCCAGATAAGGAAGAAGGAGGGCTGTGTAGGGCAGTGGTTCTCAAAGTTTGCTGGATATTGTGGTTTGAAAACTGCAAAACCCCACCCCATACCAATTAAATCATAATCTCTGGAGGTTGGACCTAGACATCAGTATTGTTTAAAACTTCCCAGATGATTCCAAAATGCAGCCAAATCAGAGATGTAAGGTGTGTCGGGTATATGTATACCTCAAGAAACCAGCCACCCACCCAGGGCTCTCATCTACTCCCCAGTCACGGGAAGCTCGAGGGAAATGTGTGCATACTGTGTCTATCAGATCTTCCAGACCGGAGCAACACGCCCAAGTTCCAGGTACTTCCCCTTCAGGATCTCAGGGAAGAAAGACCCTGGTCTGGAAGGCAGGCAGCCAAGGTTCTCCTGGGCAGGATTCAGTCACTGTCCAGCCTTAGTGTGATTTCCCCACCCACAGGCTTGTTTCCCCTGGGAAAAGAATGAAGGCAAAAACCATTCTGGCCAACCCTGCATCATTCACAATCCCTGCCTTCACCTTAAAATTTGGAGGACCCCAGGTGGCATCAGGTCTGCTGTGTTGCATAGACTGTTGTTCCCACAGCATTGCCAGGGAAACAGGTCCAGAGGGGACAGAATAGACCCCAGGTCACTCTGAGAGCCATACCTTCCTTCCAGGCCCTGGGGTTCCTGACTCTAGCAGTCCCTTCCCTGTCAGAGCTGTTTCTGTTTGTGCAATGATTGGGGCACAAGGGCAGCAGAAGTATATGGTGCCCGCACATGTGAGAGTCTGGAGGAGCCAAGGACACAAAGCCACGTACACGCTCCCTACATGCTCTCTACCCGCCCCTTTAGCCACTGTGGGCTGGAGCAGAGCCAAGCTGCAGCCACTCACAAAGCCAGGGTTCTGGCCGGCAGCCCAGGATCTGGCCACTGACCACTGGGATCAGGATCTAGCTCACCCGCTCCCCGTCAAACCCTCAGGCCCAGGCTTGGAGCTGACACCCTAGGTGTGGTGGCAAAGGGGGCTCTGGCCTTCCCAAAGCCTCAGCCACAACCAAGAGACAAGATTTTAAAACAGTTTCCTAAACTGGGATACTGTCATTACACCAAGAGTAAGAGAATCTATAGGCTAGATGTAATACTGAATATTAATTTTGTTCAGAAATTTGGGTGGAATTTTTGCATCAAGATTTTACACATTTGTAAACAAAGAAAAGTTGTAGCCGGAGCTATGCCTTTAGCTTTTAACCCTGTATCTCTGAAGGTTCACACTCCTCTGATACTAGAGTATGTGATTAAAGTTTGAGATGCACAGTTTTATTAATGCTATATCTGCCCAAATTCCAGGCCAGGATTCAAGGCCCTTTCTGCTTAATTCAGCAAGACTGTTGGAAAAAAAAAAAAAAAAAGGACTCAAGGCCCTGTGGTCGGCATGGTCAGGCGATGGTTGCTGTCTCCCTGTCCTTCTGCCCCAGGCTGTAATGAACATCAGGAAGTGCCCTTAGTCTCTCCGCAGCCTGGAAAAGGGACAGGGAGCAATTAAGGAGGATAAGGGCTGGGCTGCCAAGAATGGTGGTATGGACTTCTTTTCTTCTTTTTCTTTTTCTTTTTTTTGAGACAAGGTCTCGCTCTGTTATCCAGGCTGGAATGCCATCATGCCATGATCATAGCTCACTGCAGCCTCAAACTCCTGGGCCCAAGTGATCCTATCTCAGCCTCCCAAGTATCTGGGACCACAGGTATATGCCACCACACCTGGCTAACTTTTTAAATTTTTTTTTGTAGAGACAAGGTCTTCCTATGTTTCCCAGGCTAGTCTTGAACTTCTGGGCTCAAGCAATCCTCCCATCTTGACCTCCCAAAGTGCTGGGATTAAGGCGTGAGCCACCACACCTGGCCAATGGTATGGAGTTCTGGGTGCTCAGAAGATACTTTGCTGGATATTGTGGTTTGAAATATGAATATGAAATATGAATGCCACAGGCCCACTGGGGGTGGGCCTGTGGAATTGTGAGGCTGGTGATAAGGACTGCTGGAGCCTCCAGGGGATGAAAGAGTTGAGCAGCTCCTGAGTCCCAAGGAATGCCCAGGTGGTTATGGGAACTATCAGGGTCATGACTGTTGGGATCCCTGGAGGAAGCAGGAGAGAAAGGAGATCTGAGGACCATACTCTCCTTCCAGGCCCTAGGGCTCCTAACTTTGGCAGTGCCTTCCCTGCCAGAGCTGTTTTCTGCCTTGTGCAATGATTGGAGCACAAGGGCAACAGAAGTATCAGGTGCCTGCACATACTGCATGTGAGAGTCTGGAGAAGCCAGACTGCTCTGAGTCCTGACCTGCTCAGGGGTGAGGTCCCTCTGAGCCTGAGCAAGCATTTCGTAGCCAACCATGAATTTCCGGACAGTGGCAGAGCGCAGGAGCGGAGGGTAGTAATGAGCGTGCAGCTGCCAGTGGTCCCAGTTGGCCCCGGCCTCGGATCCTGTGGGAGCCCCTGACAGAAAGAAGAGAGATAATGGGGAGAGAGAGCCCTTTTTCAGTTATCCAGCTTAGCCCCTACCCCCAAACCCAGCCAGGTGTCTGAAAACTACATCTCCCAGGATCCCTGCCTGAGAATAGCTGGCAGGAGATTAGAAAGCATATTGGAGACATATTTTCACCAAGTTTGCTGCTCCACCCTCAGTCCCAGCATCTCTGCTCTTGCCACATCCCCCAGCAACTGTTTCAAGGCTTGCTCCTTTGGGGTTGCAGTTCACTGGGCTGGGCCCCAGGCCCAGAAATAGTGTTGGGGCTAGATATAGGTACTTGAAAAGCCTCACCATGCCAGCCCATGGAGTAGGGAAAGGACGTCTCAAAGAGGTTGTCGTACTTGGTCAAGAGCTTCTTCATGATGGAGGCTAGATCTGGAATCAGAGCCTGACTCTCAGCCTGGGGTCCAGATGCTGACCCTACTGGGAGCAACCCCCATCCAGTGCCTAGCCCCAGGATCCTGCTTTGGAGACTAACCATCACGCTCAGCAGGGGTCAGCTCAGGTAGCCGCTGCACATGCCGACGGGGCAGCAGCAGTGTCTGGTAGGGCCATGTTGCCCAGAAGGGGACCAGTACTAACCAGTGCTCACTGGTTAGGACCAGACGTTCCTAGGCAGGCAGAATGGATAGGAAGTCATCAAGATGACATAAGAGCTGGGGTGGGGTCAGCAAATAGGCAGGGGAAGCAGAAGAAAAGAATGTGCCCAGAATCTGATGCCTTCTCACCACCTCCACCACTAACCACCCGAGTCTAAATCACCATCATCTTTCATTTAGATTACTGGATTATTGCTAAGGCCTCCTAGCAAGTCTCTCTCTCTACTAGTTCCCCTCTAGCTTTCTCCTTTACACACCCCTCTCGTGGGGTAAGAAAGTTAGGGACTCCTTGGGAACACAGGGCTTGGCTCTCTCCCACCTTCCTGAGTAGCTCCTGGCGGCTATACTCCATTAGCAGGGGCTCTCCGTGCTGACTCTTATAGGTCTGCTGAGATCGCTCCTCACGCTGGGCAATATCTGGCAGGAAACTGCTGGCCCACACCTGTCAAGGGGCAAAAGCAGAGAAGAACAGACAGGTCCTTTACTTCCAAGCCTCCACATCACTGGCATATTTCCTTTGTCTTATCCATTAATCCAGTTCCTGTGTCCACAGTGCTGGCTCAGACTCAGCCAAGAAACCCACTGGAGCCCCTGACACCCTTACCTGGCAGTGGGGATGGGGGTTGGAACAGCCCATCATGGCACCTTTGTTTTCAAAGATCTGTCAGATAGGGATAGGGAGCTTTGTTACCCAAAAGACACCAAGTCAGCTCCCTCCTGACCACATCCTGTGGAAACAGAAATGTTACTCCCCAGAACCAAAGCTTCATCACCCCCTCCCTGCCCATCCAGGGGAAGGGGCGACCTCACAAACCTGCACCCAAGGGTACTGGGCACCCAGCTCCTCTGTGACTGAGGCCCATGCATCAACAACAGCCCGGATCTCAGGGACCGACATGAGTGGCAGCGTTACATCCGACCAGGGGTGGAAGCACATGACCTTACTGGGTGGTGGGGGGGGGTAAAGATAACTGAGAGGTAGGGCTTGGCTCTGCTATGGGCAGGGCCCAGCCCCAATGCTGAGTCTCCAACCCTGGTTTGAAAGTTGTAAGGGGAAATCCATAGTTACCAGACTCCTCGTGCAGCCTTTGCTTGGAAAAGGGGATGATCACTGGGTCCTGAGGTAAAGGAGTATGACTCTCTGCAGCAGAAGTCCCTCAAGAGGTCTAGCCACCCTCCTCCCCAACAGCAGTTGGAGCCAGGTTACCTGGACTGGGGGCATCAGGCTGCAGAGCTGGGAAGTCGTTGTCAAACAGGAAGGTGCTATCGTAGTGGGGATTCACCTACTGACAAGGATGGGCTAGAAGCACTCACTGCCCCATACCACCAGTTACCTGGTGGGCTTCAAAGACTGGACAGGCTACAAGTGAGTAGGCAAGGCCCACTCTAGGGGACCAAAAAGCTTGGTGGGATATGACCCAGAAGGAGGTTCACTACCCCTGTGGGTGGAGGACAGCTCTAAGAGGGAACTACTCCCTGTGGCCCAGCCTGCAGATGCAGGGCTCTACAGGCTTACCTCTCCATTGGCTCGGGTGGCCCCGGGACACAGAGGGTTGAGGGGGTCATGGCGGGGCACTGTCTTCAGAAGCTGGGGCTCCACTTGACCCTGCCAGGGCCGCTTCATGCGGTGAGCTGACACCAGCACCCACTCATCCTGCAGCGGGTTGTAGCGTATATGCTGATGGTCTAGGGGCAGACAGTTAAGATCAGTCCTCAGAGCTCTCTAGCTCCCTCTCTCCTGGGTCTCACCCACCAGCAGGCCCAAGCTCGGAAGCGTCCTCTCCGCCCCGTCCCGCTCAGGAGCTAGAGGCCCAGGATTGGACCTTCCCAACGCCAATTGGCCTGCAGCTCGTACACAGGCGACTGTATGCCTTGTCGGTCTGGCTCGGGATGAGCGTTCCAACCTTAGGTGGGGGCGAGAGCTTCCTAAAGAAGGGGAGGGCTCGGCTCCGCGCCCCAGGGAGTCCCTGCCGCGGTGCAGTTACCGCTTGCCCGGAAGGTTGCTGCTGCGGCGTCCGCCTCTGACGCCTGCTGGCGCTGCTCAGGATCGGTTCCGCTGCGCGACATGAGGCCACCGGGGATCCGCTGGAAAATCTACAGGGCAGTGCCTCACCCTTCACTTTCTCCGTCTACACCGCCCCTCCCCGCGCCGCCCCCGATGATTGGCCAGCCGCCAGCACGTGACTGACGGCTGCCCTGCCACCTGGGGGCGGGGTTCAGAACAGCTGTGAACCCTGGGGGCCGACATTGATGATCCCACTCCACCCAGAGCTGGAGCCACTGCACTGGAAGAACCTCTGTGAAAGCTGCCTACTGCAGAATCCTTGGGCTCCAGGACGCCTACAAGACGCTTGCTGCAATCATTCATTTGATCTTTCATTCAGCAAATATTTACCGAGCATCTACCATGTGCTAGACACCTAGGCTGTGTGAAGCATTGGGCTGCGCAAGTCAGGCATGGCCTCTGCCCTGCCTGAGCTTACATTCTAGGGCGAGTAAGGATATGACCCTGGATCAACAGTGCCTCAGTCACCTGCTCAGTGGCTGTAGTGGAGGAGAGGCAAACTTGGTGGGGCTGTGTGGAGTACTATATCCATATCCTATCCCTAAAAGCAAAAACAGATTTCGGAAAAAGGGCTGAGTAACCATATTGCCTTTCTTTCTCTCACTCTTGCTCTGCTTCTTCCTCTCTCTCTCTCCTACACACACCAAGACAGCACAAGAAGTGGGAGGGGTAAAAGAGCTATAAAAAATCTACAAATGGCCGAGCTCGGTGGCTCACGCCTGTAATCCCAACACTTTGGGAGACCAAGGCGGGCGGATCACGAGGTCAAGAGATTGAGACCATCCTGGCCAATATGGTGAAATCCCGTCTCTAGTAAAAAAAAAAAAAAAAAAAAAAAAGCTGGGCGTGGTGGCGCACACCTGTAGTCCCAGCTACTCAGGAGGCTGAGGCAGAAGAATCACTTGAACCCGGGAGGCAGAGGTTGCAGTGAGCCGAGATCGCGCCACTGAACTCCAGCCTGGCAACAGAGCGAGACCTTGTCTAAAAAAAAAAAAAAAAAAAAAAAGAAATCTGAAAATGTGGGGAGTACAGGACTATCAGAAGCTCCAGCCATCATCTAGGTGGGGCCTAGTGTTTCCTTTACACATCCCCTTCCCTTTTCTAAATTTTCCTTGGATCGGACCAATTGGCTAACACTAGGATAAAATTCAAATGAATTCCCCCCCTGGTACTTTTTTTTTTTTTTCCTTTGAGACAGAGTCTCACTTTGCCACCCAGGCTGGAGTGCAGTGGTGTGATCTTGGCTCACTGCAGCCTCCACCTCCTGGGTTCAAGCAATTCTCCTGCCTCAGTCTCCTGAGTAGCTGGGATTACAGGTTCATGCCACCACACCCGGCTAATTTTTGTATTTTTAGTAGAGATGGGGTTTCACATGTTGGCCAGGCTGGTCTTGAACTCCTGACTTCAAGTGATCCTCCCGCCTCAGCCTCCTAAACGGCTGGCCCCCTGGTACTTTTAAAGAGCCATCTAAATATTGTCTAAACCTCTTCCCCATTTCACAGTGGGGACCAGAGGACTCAAGGTCACCCAGAGAATTAGTGGCCAAGCTGAGATTTGAATGTGAGTTTCCAAGAATCTTCCCAGTGCTGTGAGATGCCTCTGAGACTTCAGTGGAATGTAGGACAGAAACCCAGTGACAGAAGTTGAGCCATAGCAGGGACGTCCCTTCCCCCCGTCCAGGCCAAAGCAAGCTAGGTGTTTTGCAATTGAGCTGCAAAAACTAGGTCATGGGTCATTTACTTGATCTCTGCCCTAAGGTCCTCAGACTGTAGGAGACAGGGAGCTGGGGACTGAGAAATGGGGGTTTTACCTGTCCCACTGGCTGTTCATATTACCCAAAGAGGTGAGACAGGAACAGGAGATCTGCTTTTCTGTTCTCTCAGTTATATTTGAGTGACTAGAGTTTGTAGACAGCTCCATTTTCCCAAGAACACTAGTGCTTCAGTGCCACACCCTGAATCATGCTAACTAAATCCTGACCCCCATCAGGAACATCTTTCAGGAGCATCTCCATAACTCTCCTCTATGACTCCCCAAGGTCATTTTTTGGAGGAAGAGGAGAATGACTAAGATGGGGCCTACCCAGCTCCCTCCCTCCCAGATCCCAGAGGTGTTGTTACAGTAAAGGGATCCCAATCCAGACCCCAAGAGAGGATTCTTGGATCTCATGCAAGAAAGAATTCAAGGTGGGTCCATAGTGTGAAGTCAAAGCAAGTTTATTAGGAAAGTGAAGGAATAAAAAAATGGCTACTCCATAGACAGAGCACCTCTGAGGGCTGCTGGTTGACCATTTCTATAATTTTTATGTGTTTTTTTTTTTCTTTTCTTTCTTTTTTTTTTTTTTTTTTTGAGACGGAGTTTCACTCTGTTGCCCAGGCTGGAATGCAGTGGCTTAATCTTGGTTCACCGCAACCTCTGCCTCCCAGGTTCAAGTGATCCTCCTGCCTCAGCCTCCTGAGTAGCTGGGATTACAGGCACCCACCATCATACTCAGCTAATTTTTGTATTTTTTAGAGACAGGATTTCCCCATGTTGGCCAGGCTGGTCTTGAACACCTGACCTCAGGTAATCTGCCCATCTCGACCTTCCCAGAGTGCTGGGATTACAGGTGTAAGCCACTACACCTGGAAAAGCTTTCTGAAAGACCAGATAGGGGAGCTGTAGGCCCAGATGATCCCAGAAAGCTGTTCCTGGAATGGGGAGCAGAGACCAAATTTGGGGGCTAATCCCTGCTGCTCAGGGTTCTTAGTGAGTTGTCCAGTCAGAAATGCCACAGAAGCCAGAACCAATACAAAAGTATGTTCCCTCAATCCTTCATTCTCCTCTAGATAATCCCTTCTTTATCCTTAATTTCTCTCCCAAGTTTCTTTCTTTCTTTTTTTTTTTTTTTAGATGGAGTCTCACTCTGTCACCCAGGCTAGAGTACAGTGGTGCAATCTAGGCTCACCGCCTCCTGGATTCAAGTGATTCTCCTGCCTCAGCCTCCCCAGTAGCTGGGATTACAGGCATGCACCACCACACCCGGCTAATTTTTGTATTTGTAGTAGAGACAGGGTTTCATCATGTTGGCCAGGCTGGTCTCAAACTCCTGACCTCAGGTGATCTGCCTGCCTCTGCCTCCCAAATAACTGGGATTACAGGCATGAGCCACCATGCCCAGCCTGCTAAGTTTCTTAAAAACATAGGCCATCTTCCTGGCCTCTACTCTTAGCTGCATGGTATATTGTAACGCATCTTTTGCCCTATATTTGTCAGGGTAAGTAATCTTAGTTGCTGTAACAAACACTCCCAAAACTCAATGGCTTAGCACTACAGTCAATTCTGGGGATAACAGGGAGGCCTGTTCCAAGCAGGATTTAGGGATCCAGGTGCCATCCATCTAGTAGCTATGCCATTTCCTAGGGTCTCAGAATACTCCACTAGAGATCCTCTATAACTACAGTAGTAGATGAGGGAAGAAAGAAAATGTAAAGAACTTCAAGCTGGGCATGGTAGTATGTGCCTGTAGTCCCCCAGCTACTTGGGAAGCCAAGGTAGGAGATCACTTGAGCCCAAGAGTTTGATACCAGTCTGGGAGTGACATAGCACAATCCCGTCTCTTAAAAAGAGAGAGAGAGAGAAAAAAAAAAAAAAAAAAAACAGAATTTCAGAGGAGACTTTAGGAGCCAGCCCTGGAAATGTCATACATCATTTCTATTTCTATCTATATTTCATTGGCCAGAATGCAATCACATGACCCAGAGTAGACTGTGGAATCTAATCTAGCGGTCCAAGAGCAAGAGGAAATGGATTTGTGAATGTATAGCATTGTCTCTGCCACATACCCCTACTGAGAAGTCTAATTATCATTTCCCATCATATTATTCAATCTCTCAATTATACTTCACTGTGTTAACCCTTCATTCCATTACTTTCTTTTTTTTTTTCAGACGGAGTTTCGCTCTCGTTGCCCAGGCTGGAGTGCAATGGCATGATCTCAGCTCACTGCAACCTCCGCCTCCCAGGTTCAAGCAATTCTCTGGCCTCAGCCTCCCAAGTAGCTGGGATTATAGGTATGCGCCACCACGCCTGGCTAATTTTGTGTTTTTAGTACAGATGGGGTTTCTCCATGTTGGTCAGGCTGGTTTTGAACTGCCAACCTCAGGTGATCCGGCCACCTCAGCCTCCCAAAGGGCTGGGATTACAGGCGTGAGCCACCGCGCTTGGCCCATTCCATCACTCTTGAGAAAGTAAAGAAACTTTTTATCTGAGAAATGCCAGCCCCTTTTAATTATCAGGCCCAGAGAGGCATTAAAATGTGACAGCATGGGCCTGGCGCAGTGGCTCACGCCTGTAATCCCAGCAATTTGGGAGGTTGAGGTGGGCGAATCACGAGGTCAGGAGTTCAAGACCAGCCTGGCGAACCTGGTGAAACCCTGTCTCTACTAAAAATACAAAAAAATTAGCTGGATGTGGTGGCGGGCGCCTGTAGTTCCAGCTACTCGGGAGGCTGAGGCAGGAGAATTGCTTGAACCGGGAGGCGGAGGTTGCAGTGAGCTGAGATTGTGCCACTGCACTCCAGCCTGGGCAACATTGGAGACTCCGTCCCAAAAAAAAAAAAAAAAAAAAAGAATTAGGTTAAAATAAAGTGACCGGGCACAGTGGCTCATACCTGTAATCCCACACTTTGGGAAGCCAAGGAGGGTGGGTCACCTGAGGTCAGGAGTTAGAGACCAGCCTCAACATGGCAAAAACCTGTCTCCACTAAAAATACAAAAATTAGCCATGCACGGTGACGCACACCTGTGGTCCCAGCTACTCGGGAGGCTGAAGGAGGAGGATAGCTTGAACATGGGAGGCGGGGGTTGCAGTGAGCCAAGATCGCACCACTGCACTCCAGCCTAGGCAACAGAGTAAGAATCCATCTCCAAGAAAATAAAAAATAAAAATAAAAACCACTTATAAAATAAAAATAAAAAATGCTTGTATCAACACTCCCCAAGGCAACCTGGAAGTGTGTCCCGAGCAGTTGCTCTCTACCTTGGCCCAAATAAACTCTCTATATTAATTTTGCCTCAGCTTTTTCTTTTTTTCCTCACTGTTGTTTTTGTTTGTTTGTTTTTCTCTTTTGAGACAGAGTCTCACTCTGTTGCCCAGGCAGGAATGCAATGGCACAATCTCCGCTCACTGCAACCTCCACCTCCTGGGTTCAAACGATTCTCCTGCCTCAGCCTCCCGAGTATCTGGGCCAAGTGAGTGGCACGCGCCACCATGCTTGGCTAATTTTTGTATTTTTTAGTAGAGATGGGGTTTCACCATGTTGGTCAGGCTGGTCTCGAACTCCTGACTTCGTGATCCGCCTGCCTCGGCCTCCCAAAGGGCTGGGATTACAGGCGTGAGCCACTGCGCCCAGACTGTTTTGTTTGAGACGGAGTTTCGCTCTTTCACACCCAGGTTGGAGTGCAATGGTGCGATCTTGGCTCACCACAACCTCCACCTCCTGTGTTCAAGTGATTCTCCTGCCTCAGCCTCCCGAGTAGCTGGGATTACCAGCATATGCCACCATATGCCCAGCTAATTTTGTATTTTTAGTAGAGACAGGGTTTCTCCATGTTGGTCAGGCTGGTCTCAAACCCCCGACCTCAGGTGATCCACCTGCCTCGGCCTCCCAAAGTGTTGGGATTACAGGCGTGAGCCACTGTGCCGGGCCCCTTTTTCTTTCTGGAGACAGGGTCTCCCTCTGTTGCCCAGGCTGGAGTATAGTGGCATGATCTTGGCTCATTGCAACCTCCACCTTCTGGGTTCAAGCGATTCTCCTGCTTCAGCCTCCTGAGTAGCTGGGACTACAGGCACCTGCCACCACGCCCGGCTAATTTTTTGTATTTTAGTAGAGACAAGGTTTCACCATGTTGCCCAGGGTAGTTTCGAACTTCTAAGCTCAGGAAATCTGGCTGCCCGCCTTAGCCTCCCAAAGTGCTGGGATTACAGGCATATGCCACTGCGGCCAGCCCTTTTTTTTTTTTTTTTTTTTTTTTTTTTGAGGCAGGGTATTGCTCTGTTGGCTCACTGCAACCTCCACTTCCCAGGTTCAAGCGATCCTTGCACTTCAGCCTCCTGAGTAGCTGGGACTACAAGTGTGCGCACCTACTCCTGACTAATTTTTGTACTTTTTGCAGAGATGGGGTTTCACCATGTTGCCCAGGCTGGTCTCGAATACCTGGACTCAAGTGTTCCGTCTGCCTCAGCCTCCCAAAGCATTGGGATTACAAGTATGAACCACTTCGCCCAGCCTCAGTTTCCTTCTTTAAGGTCAAAAATGTATGAGGGTACTCTTTTCCAGTTCCTTTGTGTTTTATATGTATAACCATCACGTAAAATGCTCACCATGTGGGGCACTAACTGCTTTACAAATATTAACACATCTAATCTCATCAAAATGAAGATATGTACTATGAGGTAGGTACTTTTGTCCATTCAATTTTACCGGTAAGAAAACTAAGTTACAGAGATTTTAAGTAACCTGCCCAAGATCAGACAACTAGTAGGTAGCAGGAGCCAGGCTTTGAACTCAGGCAGTCCAGCTCGAGTTTATTTCTTAATCACTGCACAATGCTGCCTCTTTTCTCTTTTGTTTCTTTTCCTTTTTGCTTTCTTCTTCCTCTGCCTACCCTTTGCTTTTGGTGATCTCCAGGGCTCTGTCTTTAGCCTTATCTTACTCTATTCTCTCTCCCTGTGAGATTTTATCAATTCTTAGAGGTTTTCTGTAGACTCTCCAGTGAGATCCCTAAGCTGGGGAGTGGGACCATTGTTTCTACCCATATCCCTAATGGTCACTACAGAACTTGGCACATACAAGTGCCAACAAAATATCTGAATGAATGACAACTCCCAGCTCTACCTCCAGACTGGAGCTGAGCTTCCAGACCTGGATGCTCAACTGCCCACTAGACATGCAAAGGATGTTAGCCAAATAAGGGGAAAGTGGGGATAGGGTAAAGGGGGAAAGAGTATTCCAGGAAGAAGAGATCAAGCCCTACCAACTTCATTTCCAGAGTTGTTAAGCTCATTTCTTTCTTCCATCTCCACTGACAGAGACCTTCCCTCTTACCTGGCCCATGGTCATGGTCTCCCTGACTCATCTTGCTCCCCTCCACTCGGCAGTCCTGTGCCACTCGGTGGCAAAATCTAATCCCCTTCCTCCCCTGCTGATACCCCTCAGCTGGTTTACAAGGCCTCCTCTCACATTTTGTGCTGCATAACAGAGAAGGAATTGTAGGCCCCTGAAGACCCCAAGCTGTCTCTCCTCGGGGGCCTTTGCTCTAGGGGCCGGTCCCTGCGAACTGGCGTGCCCCCTCTGCGCGCTCTTAAAGACACAGTTCAGGTGTCACTGCCTCTGGAATGCCCACCTAGGGCTCCCAGCTTGAACTGCCTCCCCTCCCCTTCAGTCCTGGTAAAGGAGGGCCCTAACAATCGTTGAGTCCCAGAAGGCTCCACTTCCGGGTTCGTCTGCTTCAACCAGCCAGTGAGCTCGGGCGAGCCAGTCCATTCTGGGTCTCACTACCCCCACCCCATCCGTTTGTAGAGTGGCGCTAGGTCAGACCTCGCCTGAAGACCCTGCCATCTGCAGCTGGGCGACTTAGCCCCGCCCCCTCACCGCCCTTGCACGGCACCGCCCCACTCTTCCGTGCTCCCCCCCGAAGAAATGGTTCGACCGAAGGGGCGGTGCCAAGGTGACTGGCCGCTCCTATTGGTCAGGGCGAACCGTACCACGGCGGTGGCGGGGGAGCGCTTCGTGGGCAGCCGGCGGGCTCCGAGGCGGTGAGTGCAAAGCCTCAGACCCCGGCTCGCTCCTGGGTTGCGCCGTGCTAGGCCGCCCGCCGGGATGCAGTGGGCCGTGGGCCGGCGGTGGGCGTGGGCCGCGCTGCTCCTGGCTGTCGCAGCGGTGCTGACCCAGGTCGTCTGGCTCTGGCTGGGTACGCAGAGCTTCGTCTTCCAGCGCGAAGAGATAGCGCAGTTGGCGCGGCAGTACGCTGGTGAGCGGGCAGAGGGCGGGGAGGGGAGCGGCCGGCCCGGGAGCGGAGCCTAGGGTTCCGAAGGCGCCATCCCCGGACCCAGGACCGGTGCCGGCCCTGACTCCGCCGCCCCTCTGCCTCCGCCAGGGCTGGACCACGAGCTGGCCTTCTCTCGGCTGATCGTGGAGCTGCGGCGGCTGCACCCAGGCCACGTGCTGCCCGACGAGGAGCTGCAGTGGGTGTTCGTGAATGCGGGTGGCTGGATGGGCGCCATGTGCCTTCTGCACGCCTCGCTGTCCGAGTATGTGCTGCTCTTCGGCACCGCCCTAGGCTCCCGCGGCCACTCGGGTCAGTGCTAGCGGCGGGCCGGATTGGGAGGCTGGGGTTGTAGAGAGGCCCATGCCCTCCTGTCTGATGTTTGGCTGGGCCGTGCGATGGCGCGAATACCCTGATAGTGTCCATGCGATTGTCACTCAGGGCGCTACTGGGCTGAGATCTCGGATACCATCATCTCTGGCACCTTCCACCAGTGGAGAGAGGGCACCACCAAAAGTGAGGTCTTCTACCCAGGTGGGTAAGAAGGCTCTGTCAGAGAAGTGGGTGCCTTCACGTGGGGGGTGCCCACAATTGCGGGGAGCATGGCATGGAAAAGGAGTGTGTTGGGGGGCCCTCCTCATGGTTCCCTTCCTCCACCCTCCCATAAGCCACAGGTGATTGGTTGGGGCAGAGCTGAGGGACTCTTGCTTTCCTCTGTCAAGGGGAAACAAAACATAACAACTTCCTGTTAAACATGTCTGATTTTTATCTGCCCAGGCACAATTTTGCCCAGACAATATTCCAACAACTGTTGGGGAGACAGTGGGTAATCAGAAATGCTCTCAATACTCCAAAAGACAATACAGACAGTTACCTTTTTTTTTTTAATAGTGCAACAATTTGCTTAAGAAATAGAGCATTGGACTTCCCAGTACATTTGAGGTTGGGTGTATGCATCGCAGGCATGGTGGTTGAACAGCTACACTTTTCAGATAAAGCCTCACAAGTCCTGGAACTACCCCTTTCCTAGCTACAAGCCCAGCCCAGGTTTAGCTAAATTTCTGCTTGTTTCGAGTGAGGCTTGGGAGTGCAGACTTCCATACAGTGGGCCCATGGCCAAGCAAGGTAGCCGTCTATGGCTTCCCCCAAGAGAGGACATGGGTCAGATGATGCCACAGAACATTTAGGAGTAGCCGTATGGGCCAGCCCAGTGAGGTAGGGCCTTTTGTTTTTCTGAAGCTCCCTCTCCATTCCCCACCCCTAGTTAGTCCATGGGCCAGGAAAGCAGAAGCCATGGAAGGGCAAGGCAGAGCTGGCTCTTCACTTGGGTGCTCCCTGTCCCCCAGGGGAGACGGTAGTGCATGGGCCTGGTGAGGCAACAGCTGTGGAGTGGGGGCCAAACACATGGATGGTGGAGTACGGCCGGGGTGTCATCCCATCCACCCTGGCCTTCGCGCTGGCCGACACTGTCTTCAGCACCCAGGACTTCCTCACCCTCTTCTATACTCTTCGCTCCTATGCTCGGGGCCTCCGGCTTGAGCTCACCACCTACCTCTTCGGCCAGGATCCTTGACCAGCCAGGCCTGAAGGAAGACCTGTGGATGGACAGGAGCGGGCAGGCCCGCACATATCCACTTGCTGGAGCCCATGTTTACAGACAGGGACATACACCATGCAGATCCCGAGTTCCTGCTGTATGAGCAGGGATATCCATGCTTATGTATCCAAACACAGAGAACCATGGGAACTAATGAGACACATATAGATACTGAGACCTGTGTGTACAGTAGGACCATGCACTCATACCCATCTGGATAGGGAGCCCCTGGTATACCAAGGGAGCCAGTTGTGTTCAAACACACACATCACAAGCTTGACTCACTAACTCAGGCCTTTCCAGAGCTCCACAGCTTCCCACCCCCTCCCCACCAAACTGGGGTTCTGGAGTTAAGGATGGGGGAGGGTATTATACTGCCTCAGTCTGACTCCTCAACCCAGCAGCAATTTGAGGGGATGAGGGGGAAGAGGAGCTGCCTTTTGGAGGCCCCCTTCACCTGCAGCTATGATGCCCTTCCCCTTCTCCCCTGTCCTCACCATATGCCTTATCCCCATTCTACTCCCCTGCTATGCAAGTGCCCCTGTGGCTTGTCCCCAACCCCCTCGGCAACCAAGCTCACCTGGGGAACCAGAGTAATGTGAAGAATGCTTGAAGTCAGCATCTTCCATTCCAGAAAGGCCCCCATTCTTCCTTTGGGGATATGATGCAGAAGCTGGTTTCAGCCCAGGACCCGCCACTGAGGAGGGGATCTAGGCAGGTGGGCCTGATTCCAAGGGGGCCTTCCTGGCCTGGAGAAGGCCTTTTACACACACACAACACACACACACACATCACAGTTTTCAGACAGCCCCTGCTGCATTCTCTGTCCATCTTTCTGTTTCTGTTAATAAAGATTTGTTGATCTGTTCCATCTTTTTGTGTGTCTGAGCAGCCGGAAAAAGCCTCTGACTCCTGGGGACCTCAGGAAGATCTCTCTCTTGCTGTGTGATTCATGGTTTTTTGTGTTTTTTTTGTTTTTTTTTTTGAGACGGAGTCTCGCTCTGTCGCCCAGGCTGGAGTGCAGTGGCGCGATCTCGGCTCACTGCAAGCTCCGCCTCCCGGGTTCACGCCATTCTCCTGCCTCAGCCTCCCGAGTAGCTGGGACTACAGGCGCCCACAACCGCGCCCGGCTAATTTTTTGTATTTTTAGTAGAGACGGGGTTTCACCGTGGTCTCGATCTCCTGACCTTGTGATCCGCCCGCCTCGGCCTCCCAAAGTGCTGGGATTACAGGCGTGAGCCACCGCGCCCGGCCTTTTTTTTTTTTTTTTAAGAGATGGGGTCTCCTCTGTTGCCCAGGCTGGAGAGTGGCACAGCGACATGATCATAGCTCCCTGCAGCCTTGAACTCGTGGTCCCAAACAATCTTCCTGCCTTAACCTTATGAGTAGCTGGGACTATAGGCAAATGCCACCATGCCTGGTTAGCTTTTTAAATTTTTTTTAGAGACGGGGTCTAGCTATGTTGCCCCAGCTGATCTCCAGCTCCTGGCCTCAAGTGATCTTCCCTTAGTCTCCAGAGTAACTGGGATAACAGAAACAAGCCACTGTGCCTCACAAGACAGTGGCTTTTGACTAGTAGGGACTATATACTTGAGTGTGCCTTAGAATCACCTAAGACACTCTTTGAGTCAGTAGCTCAGACTATTGAGCTCCATTGCCAGAGATCAGCCTGTTCAATGATTCTCTCCAACACAGCTGTGAATGCCACAATTTGAGAAATTCAGGGCAGGGTGGCCTGGAGTGTGTCTTGGCCTTACCTCTGCCGGTGGGATCCTGGGAACAGTCCTAAGAATCTTCCCCTGGATGGCCACAGGGTGGCAGTGTGCATCCACTTTTTAGCTTAAAGGCATAGTTGTTCTCGGCTTTTTTTCAGGGCTCCCAGCGTGGTGTCTGCCCCCACCCAGAACAGGAGTTCCTCCAGTCTATGGTCTACCTTCTTCAGGACCCACCACTAGTGTGGAGGCTCCCACAGTGAAAGGCAGGCACACTACCTGGCAGTATGTGAGGTAGGTAGGGCCAGGATTCAGGTAAGGCAAGAGAGGTGCCTAAAGTGCATTCATTCCCAGAGACCCTGCTCTTGCCTTAACTTCTGCATCCTACACACCAAGTATGCCTCACCCTCATCCTGGCCCTGTTCTGAGGGTAAGGCATAGATCACTCCTGCTTCTCAGGATTCCTGGTGTTTTAAAAATGGAAGAAACATGGTTATAAAAATTAGATATTTTAAGATTTTAATGAACACAAATCTGAAAGACTATATGTATAACTGCATTTAGAAACAACAACTGAATGTGGAGTCCACGTAAGTTGGCCATCCTGACCCGGACTCTTCACCCCCATTACCACCGTGTCAGGCATAGTAGGCTCTGGCTGGCTCCTCTCCATTGACCCCAGGTTGCAAAGCCATGCCTCCTTGGGGGATTCCTACTCTGTAACCCAGCTCTGCCTCTAGGCCCAGAGTCCACATGTCAGGGATGACCCAGCTTGCCCTGTCATTCCTCCCAAACGTCCACAAAGGGCTAGGCTCCCAGGCCCCTCCTAATCTCTGCTGCTAAATCTGTTGGTCATTTCATAATTCTCAGCTTTCATTTGACACAGGTAATCACTCTGAAGGCACTCTTAGCTTCTGGGACACTACTCTTCCTTTTCTGGATTTTTTTTTTTTTTTTTTTTTTTTTTAGTAGAGACAGAGTTTCACCACATTGGCCAGGCTGGTCTCAAACTCCTGACTTCAAGTGATCTGCCCGCTTGGCCTTACAAAGTGCTGGGATTACAGGTGTGAGCCACTGCACCCAGCTACTGGATTCCTATCTCCTCATTCTCTGACTTTCTTGGGCTTAGTCCTCAAACCTCTTCTCTGTTTACACCCCTTCCCAGGTGATTCTGTGACTTTACCATCTATATATCTTGACTTCTAAATTTCTGTCTCAGCCTAAATCTCCTTCCTGAGCACCAGAGTTGGAAATCTTACTGCCTTCATCTCTACTCAACATCTCCACTTGACTGTCTAATAGGTATCTCAGATTTGAGATATCCAAAGCAAACCAAATTCTTTCCCAACCCCACACCACCACCATCTTGTAGTCTTTACTCTCTGAATTAAGGGCACCTACATTTACCTAGCTGCCCAGAGTCATTTTGGACACGTCTGTTTCACGTCCCAGATGCGATCCATCATCAAATACTGTTTTTGTCTGCAGAATATATCCAGACTCTAACCGTGTCTTCTCACCTCCACTGCCCCCACCCTGGTCTAAGACACCATCATCTGTTGCCTATAGACTATTGCAATGGTCCCTTAACTGATCACACATGCATCCTGTGTGGAGGGTTCTCCTTGCAGCAGCCAGTCAGACTTTCACTCTCTGCCGAGACATATCCAATGGCTTTCCATCTCATTCTGTCCTTTCACTCCTTACAAGGGCCTACTCCAAGGCCCATGTTTCCTCTGATCAGACATTCCAACTGCTCACCCCTTCAGTCCCCCTATTCCGACCCAGTGGCCTCCTTGCTTTTCTTCCAACACATCAAGCAAAATTCTGTCCCAGGATATTTGCACCTGCTATTCTGACCGCAGTGCTCGTCCCAAGGTATCCACATAGCCATAGCTCTCTTCCTCCCCTCCTTCAATTCCTGCTCACTGAGTTCTTCAACACTTATATAATATTATCTCTTGCATGGTGATTTTAAATACCTTCACAAAATTTTTGATGCTCTGTCCTTCAAGAGGTGAAGCCTAAATTCCTTCCCCTTGAGTGGGCTAGACTCAATTATGTACTTTCACAAATAATGTGGCAGACATAACAGTGTGTGACTTCTAGGACTAGGCCATAAAAAGCATTGCTGCCTAAAGAGTCTCTCTTGGATCATTCTGGGGGAAACCAACTGCCATGTTGAGAGGACATACAACCAATCCTATGGAGAGGCCCACATTGCAGGGAAACAGGCCCCCTGCCAAGGGCCATGCAAGTGAGCCATCTTGGAAGTAGATCCTCCAGTCCCAGTCAAACCTTCAGATGACTGCAGCCCTGGCCAACCTTTTTACTACAGAACCTTAGAGGATAATGAGTCAGAACCATCCAGACCCACAGAATTGTGAGAAAATAAATGTTTTTTGTTTTAAGCTGCTAAATTATGGGGTGATTTGTCACACAGCAATAGGTAACTAATGCGCCCCTTCTGTTCCCCCCAACGCAGCTACATTTTTCTGCATGGTGCTTATCACTATCTGACACACTGTATATTTCCCCCACTTAGAATTGTACCATTATAATAAGGACTTTGTTTTATTTGCTCCTGTGTCCAACAGTGCCTGGCAAAAAAATAATAATAATAATAAATATGTGTTGGATGAATGAAGCATGGGTCTCTGAAGGTCTAGGTCTGTCTCTGTCTCTGTGAGGTATAGGACCAGACTGTGGGTGTGAGAGGCAGCCTTTCCTTTTCACAGATGAAGAGAGATAAACCAAGTCCCAGTCAAGCATATTCCTTCCCCTCAGCCCTTCCCAGTTGTAGCCCTCCTGGCCCAGACCCCAAAAGTGGATTAACTTAGCTTGATTGATTTGGGAGCTGTGGGAGTGACTGCCCAGTCCCTTGCCCGTCAACCCAAACCCTACAAAGCACTCTCCAAACACTCAGAACTGGAATTTCCCCAAGCCAATTCCTACCTTTCCAGGAAGACTCTGACCACCTACCTTTGTCCATGCACCTTCTCTGAACAGCCAGGGGAAGCTGTGGTGGGGGAAAGGGAGCAAGCAGGGCACAAGGGTTCTGTGGATCGCTACCCTCTGCTCTCCAGTCTTCCAGTAGACTTCCGGGGCATGTCTGTCTGCCTGGCACATTCACTGATTCTCCCCTCCCAGCATCAGGGAGGGTTGGGCAGAGGAGGAGGCTTGGCTCTGCCCCAGGATACTCACACCAAACAAAGCCACGGGGGAGGAGGCATCAGTACCGACAGGAGCTTCTGGAGGCTGGGGGGTTCTGATGGGCTCAGAGGTCTGAAATCTGAGGTGGAGGACACTGGGGCAGCCAAAGGTATGAATGGGGCTGAGCCTCAGCATGGCCAGGAATGGGCCATAGGGAACCAGGACTTAGTGCTGCAGTAGGAGCTGCGCATAGAAGGGTGCAGAGAAGGGTGGTGGCTGGAGGCAGGGAGAGCAGGGAGGAGGCACCCACCATGGGATCCTGGTCAGAAGAGCTGGTGGTTTGAGCCAGAGCAAGCTGAGGCTGAGAGAAGTGGACTGATTGGGGGAGGACAAGGGAGGAGGGAGGACACAAAGGTCGCGTCAGGATTCCTGCCTTCTGGGTGTGAGGTCAGAAGACAGTCCCTGGTGCCACAGTTTCATACCTATGCAGGTGTCACCCCTACAGACACCTGCTGTTCACTTACACACTTGGCATCACCTCACCTCGCTTTGGTAGGTGGTCCCCTTGGGCACAGGAAGAAATAGAAAGTATGAGGATGCCTGGGAGGAGTGGGGTTCAGGCTGTTCAGAGCAGAAATTCTGAGAAGCCTGCCACTCAGAACCCCCAAATAAGGAACGGCATTTCAGCATCTTGGGAATAGTTTGGGGGAGGGCGTAAAGCAGTGGGCTGAGGGGGTCTGGAGATACACATGTGGGAGTCAGGCACACATGGGTGGAGAATGTGTGTGAACATGGGCGAAGTGCTGTTCACTGTTGAAACAAACCTATGATGAGTACCAGAGGTTCATTACACTATTCACTTGTCTGTGTTTCAAAATTTTCATAATACAGGCTGAGCACGGTAGCTCACGCCTGTATTCCCAGCACTTTGGGTGGCTGAGGTGGGTGGATCACTTGAGGTCAGGAGTTCAAGACCAGCCTAGCCAAAATGGTGAAACCCCATCTCTACTAAAAAGAGAAAAATTAGCCGGGCCTGGTGTTGGGTGCCTGTAATCCCAGCTAATCCCAGCTATTCAGGAGGCCGAGGCAGGAGAATCACTTGAACCTGGGAGGCAGAGGCTGCAGTGAGCCCAGATTGCGCCACTGCACTCCAGCCTGGGTGACAGAGTAACACTCTGTCTCAAAAAAAAAGAAAAAGAAAAGAAAATGTCCCTAATAGAATGTCAAAAGAGACAAAACCTGTGTGTGGCTGTGTATCTGCATGCGTTGAGTTGTGCAGTCAGCTTAAAGACCTCTGAGTGTGTGTAAGTGCATCCTTGGGGGTCCACCACCGTGTGCATGCATGTGTGCAAACCGCAGCATGCTGCAGTTGGGGACAGCGCGTGGGCAGGGCAGGGGTGGTCAAGGCAAGGGGAGAAGCTTATATTCTGACCAGACCCTCCACGCACACCCAAGCATCTTGCAGAGGGATTCCCCTCCTGATCGCAGCCTGCCCAGGCCATTGGCACTGTGGTGACCATGTCACCGAACATGTGAGACTGGGCAGCTGTGCGCCTGAACTTGTGACAAGGTGCGTTGGTGTGTGGACGTGGCTGTTTGTGTGTGGAAGCCCAGTGCTGAGTGTGGGTGTCGGGGCACGACTTGTGAGGCTGGGCGGGGCTCTGGTCCAGAGTCCGGTGGCGGTGGAGCCCTCACTTTCGCACGATTCCCCTGCAGCTCTCCAGCGCCCCCTGCCCCCGAAGCTGGCTGGAAGGAAGGTGGGAGACACCTGTTGGGTGGCTGAGAGCGGCAGAGCCCACAGGGGCCTCTCCCCATGCGCCCCGCCCGCCCTGTCCGGCTCGGGTCCCGCCCCCGCGGCCCCCGCAAGCAACGCGGCGAGTGAGCGCACAGCGGCCAGAGGAGCGCAGGGCGGCGGGAGCGCACCGCGGGGACCCAGCCGAGGCCAGGGCCGCCAGGGAGGCGGGCAGAGCAAAGGCAGCGCCGTGGAGACGCCGGGGGCAGCGGGCCACGCCAGGCAGGTGAGTGCGGCCGCGGGGCCCCCGGAGCGAGAGAGCGGGGCGTCGCGACTCCGCCACCTCCTGCCCATCCGGTCCCGTGCCCGTCCCAGGCTCTGCCCCACCGCCCTCCATCCCGGCGACTCCTTGGTCCCTGTCCTCTGCCCCTCTCTCCGGCTGTTTTCCCCGTCCTGTCTCAGTCGGTCTCTCTCTATTTCACTATCTCTTTCTAATTTCTCTTTTCTGTCTGCTTCCTGCTGTCTTGGTCTTTCCCTGTCTCTCAACACCTGCCTCACTATTTGTCTATCTCCGCCTCTGTCTCTCCGTTTCTGTCCGTCTCTGAGTTACCTGTCACTTAGGTCTTTTATCTCTTGCTCCTCTACCTCTCTTACCCTCCCTGTCTCTCTACCCAATATTCTATCTCTCTCCATCTCTGTCTCTCTACCCTGTCTCTGCCTGATATTTCTGCCTCTCTGCATCTTGGTCCCTCTCAGTCTCTGTGTCACCCCACTTCTTTCTCTCCTGTCACCCTGTTCCATCTCTATTTTCACATCTTCCTGTCATTGTCTCTGTCGGACATCCCCCCTTCTCCTTTTCTTTCTCTCTCCCTCCCTTCACCATTTCCCGATGTCTCTTGGTCCCTGTCACCCTCTCTGATCTGCTCACTCTTCCAGTCCTCAGTCAATGGCCATTTCTGATTCCCGGGGTCTGGTCCTGTTTCTGTTCACCTCTGGGAAAGCCATCTTTCTGCCTCTTTCCTTGTGACTCCTGCACTTCCCTGAATCCATGACACCACCTCCCCCTGTGTTGGGGGCTATGGGGGCAGCAGGGCCCAGCACCCATAATTCCCTCCCCCACAGGCGGCCCTTTCCTCGGGGTCCCGCCTGGTACCAGGGCCCCCCTCAGCTGGGGGACTGCGCCTGGAAGCTGTCATGGAGGCCCTGCAGAAGCAGCAGGCAGCTCGGCTGGCCCAGGGGGTGGGGCCATTGGCCCCTTCACGCTCGCTGCTGCCACCGGGGCCTCCCCTGCCTGACCACCGGACCCTACAGGCCCCTGAGGGGGCCTTGGGGGAGGTTGGGACTGAGGAAGAGGAAGATGCCGAAGATGAGGAGGAGGGGGAGGAAGCCAGGGCAGAGGAGGAGGCAGCTGAGGAGAACCATCCAGGGGCCCAGGGCCCCAGCTCACCTTCTAGCCAGCCCCCTGGACTCCATCCCCACGAGTGGACCTACGAGGAACAATTCAAGCAGGTAGGACCTACGCCCTCGATGTCCGGCCCTCTCCCCTATCTCCCTCTTCTGGCGAAAGCAGAGCCAGGTGATAGCAGTCTCTGCAAGATGAAAAGAGACACAGAGACACGGAGACCTAGAGAAAGACAGAGGGAAGATTGGAGGATAGTGACAGGGAGGGAAAGACAGATGCCTGGCTAATTTTTTAAAATTTCTTTTGTAAAGACAGGGTCTCCTTGTATTGCCCAGGCTGGTCTTGAACTCTTGAGCTCAAGTGATCCTCCCACCTCGGCTTCCCAAAGTGCTGAGATTACGGGCATGAGCCACCATGCCCAGCCAGGTGTAGGGAAGGCAGTCTGGGGGCTGGGGATTCCTACTTACCACCCTACCTACCTTCTCACACATCAAGTCACAAGGTCATATTCCAGGGACCAGTGGGGGTGTCCCAGTTGCTTCCTCTGTCTTCAGAAGCAGAATGGAGGTTATCACTCCCTTGGCAGGTTGATACACCTCTCCTTTCTTTCCTGTCACATCCCCCTAACCCCAGCCCCATGCAAATCTTCTCCCTGGCCTGAGTTCCATGGATGATAGTTCCCAGCCTGTGATAGCCACTACAGCCGCAGTATGACTATAGGGCTCCTCTGCAACTCAGAATGACAAGACTTCATTCACAGGGCCTTAATCTGAGGTTCTTTCTCCCTGGAGAACCCCTCTGGGTGTTATTCTAAGGACACTACTCAAGGCTGTCACTACAAAGGTGTTACACAGGGCTGTGACTCCAGGTGTGCCATTCTGGTGGTGTTAACTTGTAGGATGTTGGTCTAGGTATATTCAAAAAGTGTTAATCTGTGAGTAGTATTCTGGCATTGGTGTAAAACTGAGTGTTACTCAGGGCTCTGTTCTGGATATATGGCTCTAGAGACTGTTTCTCCTAGGTATAATTCTAGGGGTTATTACTTGGAGAGTGTATGTATTATTTGTGGGTATCCATCTAAGACTTAGGGCTCAGTTTTTGTGGGAATGTGGCTCTAAAGGTGGATCTGGGGCTTATTACTCATGGGTATTTTGTTTGTTTTTTATTCTGAGGATTCTTATGGGGATGATGTGACGGAATATTATCTATAGGTGTTACTCAGGGACTGTTACTCTGGGTCAGTGACTCTAGGGTTGGTTCCCTTGGCTGGTATTCGGGAGTTGATACAGGAGGTGGGACTCCAGATTACCAGGAAGAGTTGAGCTGGTCTGTGGATCCTTCAAACTCTGACCCCACAGGGCCACTGCCTCTCTAGCAGCTTCCGTAGTAGGTAGGGTAACTGCCTCTGAAAGGAAATCAGACCAGAAGATGAGCTGAAGGGCACTGGGTGTCAACCCAGAAGCTTCTGAGCATCACCCTGCCTGAGGGGTGGGTTAGAAGCGTCTCTGCCATTCACTCACCCCCAGCCCTGGCATACAGGGATGTGAACAGCATGAAGTCCTTGCATGAATGAATCAGAGCATCAGATATATGTTTGTCTCCTCAGTCTGGAATACAACCCCAGCCTAGCTTCCTTCCTGGGACTCTAAATTTCCCATGAGGGTGGGGGAAGACTGGGCCCCAGAGGGCAGGCTGAGCCTCCAAGCTCCATCCTGTTCCTCTCTTCCCTTACTCCCTAGATGGGTGGTTTGAACGGCCTAGGGCACCACTACCAGTACCAGTCTCTGTATGTACTAGAAAAGGCACCCCTGCCTGCCCCTAGGCGGAGAGAGCCTAATGCTAATGCCAGGGAGATCCTACTGACTCCTTCAGCTAGGGACCCTTGTTCAGGGTACAACCTGAATTGGGGTCTAGGGAGGGAGGGGGGTCAGCAGAGCTGTAGAATGACCCCAATCCTTCCCCAGCTGTATGAGCTCGATGCAGACCCCAAGAGGAAGGAATTTCTGGATGACCTGTTTAGCTTCATGCAAAAGAGGGGTGAGTGGCATGACGTGGGGGAAGGGCCCTGGAATTGCCCCCTTACCACGTTTGAGGAAATCCGGTTGGGTTCTCCCTGCAGAGGCCTGAGCTTGGCAGCACCTGTCCTTTGGGCCCTCAATAGCGTCTTTAACCTCTGACCCTGCCCCCCTCCTCCACCCCAGGATTAATTAGCGGCCAGCCCACTGGCAGGTTAATGAGTGTGGGATCAATTGGGAGGGTGGGAGGGGGAACTGATGGGAGGCTGGCCTGGGGTGGGAGGGTCCCAGAATCAGAGGGCTGAAAATACCTTGGTTCTCTGTCAAGGGTCCTTCCTTCAGTCATGTCTTCCCTGTTTTCCCTTGATTAAGGCAGGTTGCACCTCATGTGCTCTACAGCAGGAAGGACTAGGATTAGACTGGAGGAAGGACTTCCCAAGGGGCGGGCTGGGGACTATGTGAGTTGAGGCTGTGCACTATGTGAGTTGAGGCTGTGCAGGAGGAGAAATTCCTTTCCAGGAATGTCAGAGCTGGAGGAGAACGCAAGAAGGGTCTAGGAGGGCATCAGGGTGGGTGGCAGTCCATCACTTCAGCTTCTCCCCAGATTCATGGGACGGAACACTGACTCATTATCTCTCTCTACAAAGCTAATTAACTCACTCAGAGCGCAACCTGATAAGCCGCTAATTAACTGGCTGCACTGTCCGCCCCCCCCCCCCTTTTAGTGCAGCTGCTGGCCCACCTCCCGCCCCCGGCCCTCGCCCTAGCCCCAGCACCCGTTTCGGGTCCCTTGCTTCCCTGGGACCCTCAGTAGGGCCCTAAGTCCTTTTGGTTCCCAGGGAGGCCCATTCTGGTTCCAGTGTCCCCTCTCTGGCCCTTCCTCGAGGCCTCCCCTCCACTGGGGTAGCGGGTGTGAACCGATCTCAGCATTGCCTGCCCGCCCCTCCCCACTAGCTCTGCCTCCCTTCGGTCCCTGCCTCCCACCGCTCCAGTTGCAGGGGGAGGGGGTCCCGCGGGGCCGATAATTTTCCCCCATTAATCAGGCCGCAGCTAATTGTTCGGGTCCAAAGGCGCGGCGGAAGGGGACGGGATCGGTAAGGAATTAACTGGGGCCCATCGCTCAGCGCAGACAGGCCCCTTTGTCAGGACTGGCCGGCGGGGGCGGCGCGGGCTGCGGAGTCGGCGGGCCGAGGCGGAAGCTGATTCTTCTCCCGCCCGTCATCCCCCAGCCTTGGGCAGCCACCCGGGGGCTGCTGCTTAGGGGAGGCCGGCTCTTCAGCACTGTCCGGAAGTGCTTCCTGCGGTCTACCCCAGGGGACAGCAAACTAAAGTTTGCAGGCCAAACCCAGCTGCCTGCAAGATAAGAATGGTTTTTACTTATTTAAATAGTTGGGGGACAAAATTAAAAGATGAATAACATCTCCAGACTGGTGAAATTCGAATTTCAGAGTCTATATTATTGGAACACAGCCGCATCCATTCCTTTAGGTATTCTCTATGGCCGCCTTTAGGCTACAATGAGAGCGTTGAGTAGTTGTGACAGAGATCATTTAGCCATCTGGCCTTTTACAGAACTTTGCCCACCCCTGTGCTAGCCTCCTGTCCTTCCTGCTAAAATAGAGGCCCTGGGGTTCCGTGGGCTCTGCCCAAGTCTCCCTCTTTCCCGCCCTCCCCGGGGCTCCCGCCCCGTATCAGTCCCCGGGGATGCTGTAGACAGGGTCTTAGTCTCAGTGTCCTGACTGCAGCCCGCTCCCCACCAGGGACGCCAGTGAACCGCGTGCCCATCATGGCGAAGCAGGTGCTGGACCTGTACGCTCTGTTTCGTCTGGTGACCGCCAAGGGCGGCCTGGTGGAAGTCATCAACCGCAAAGTGTGGCGGGAAGTCACGCGCGGCCTCAGCCTACCCACCACCATCACCTCGGCCGCCTTCACTCTACGCACCCAGTGAGGCCAGGGGCGCTAGCGGAAGGGAAGTGGGCACAGGGTCGGGCTGGGGCGGGGAGGGGAGGGTCCCCGGGCGGGCGTCCGGGTGTGGGACTTGACCAGCTGGGCCCAGACACTCCCACACACTCACCGCCCACTGTCCGCCCCTAGGTACATGAAGTACTTGTACCCGTACGAGTGCGAGACTCGAGCGCTCAGCTCCCCAGGGGAGCTCCAGGCCGCCATAGACAGCAATCGGCGCGAAGGCCGTCGCCAGGCTTACACCGCTACTCCACTCTTTGGCTTGGCAGGGCCGCCGCCTCGGGGCGCTCTGGGCCCTGCCTTGGGTGCCGGCCCCGCCCCTCGGGCGACCCCTTCCAGCCCCGGCCCCGCCCAGGGTTCCGCCTCCGGCCTGCCAGCGCACGCATGCGCTCAGTTGAGTCCAAGCCCTATTAAGAAAGGTGCGAGGGGAGAATGGTGGAGGTTTAAGGGTCTCTGAGGTTTAGGTGGGCGCTAAGATATAGCAACCATTAAAATGTGGGGACTGAGGTCTGGGAGCAGTAAGGTCTGACGGGCCTCTGAAGTTTGGGGGTCACAAAGGTTTAGGGGTCCTGAGGTTTGCGGTCAAATGAGCGCTTTGGGGTATGGGTTACTGAGGTGTGGGGGCCGAAGTTCAGGAAAAGGTCCTTTTTTTTTTTTTTTTTTTTTTTTGAGACGGCGTCTCGTTCCGTCGCCCAGGCTGGAGTGCAGTGGCTGCAGTGGCGCGATCTCAGCTCACCGCAACCTCCGCCTCCCGGGTTCAAACGATTCTCCTGCCTCAGCCTCCCGAGTAGCTGGGACTACAGGCGCCCGCCACCACGCCCGGCTAATTTTTTTTTTTTCTTTGTATTTTTAGTAGAGATGGGGTTTCACCATGTTAGCCAGGATGGTCTCGATCTCCTGACCACGTGATCCGCTCGCCTCGCCTCCCAAAGTGTTGGGATTACAGGCTTAGCCACCGCGCCCAGCCAGGAAAAGGTCTTTTAATCACAGCAGCTCCATTCCACACCTGTCTACCCAGTGCTCCTATTTGCATATAGTTTGTGCCTCTTGTGACCTGGATTATTTAATAACCAACAGTCGAAAACAACCCCCAAATTCTCTAGACATGTACATTGATCCTTTGGGCTCTAGAGAAAAGCTTCAGCGCTTCCAGACTGAGGCTCTGGATGGGAAGATAGATGGAATGAAGGATGAGAGATTGGTACATGAGCTTGAGTTACCTCTTTTGGTCCCAGGCCTGGGGGAGAACCAAATGCAGAGATGGGTTGGTTTGGCCAGGGGAGCTGAATAACCTGTTCTTCCAGAGGACAGTGGAATTCCAACCCCTCGCCTGGCACTGCCTGTGGGCCTGGCATTGGGACCTACACGGGAGAAACTGGCACCAGAGGAGCCCCCAGAAAAGAGAGCTGTGCTGATGGGGCCCATGGACCCACCTCGACCTGGCATGCCCCCCAGTTTCCTGCCCCGTGGCAAGGTTCCCCTGAGGGGTGAGGAGGGGTTTGTTGTGAGGGGGCTTCGGGACTGTACACTGAGGGAGGATTGACCCATCACCTGATAGGTGTTAGAGAGGGGGCAGACAGATTCCTTTATAGACAATTGTGTGAGTATACGTGTGGGGCTGAAGTGGAATGGGGGCTGTCTACAGGGATGGAGGGGGGAAATTCTATTAATAAGTCTGAAGTCTGATTCTCCAAAATGTGATTCCTCTGCCCCCTCCTGGACAGAAGAGCGGCTGGATGGGCCTCTTAATCTGGCAGGCAGTGGCATCAGCAGTATCAACATGGCCCTAGAGATCAACGGGGTGGTCTACACTGGTATGGGTACTGCAGGCTGTCTACACTGGCATGGGGTCAGGGGTATTTAGGCTGGCATGGGGATTTTAGACTTCCTCTACTAGCATGAAGTTCAGGGATATCTAAGCTTGCATGGGTAACGTGGGGTTCAGGGGATTGCTAGACTGGCATGGGTTAAAGGGGGTGCCTACATGGCATGGGATCCAAGGCATGACCTCTCTGGCATGAGTACCAGGGGATGTCTGCCTTGTCATGGGCCTATGTATCAGCATAAATATTATTGTTTACCTGTTTGAGGGTATCTACATTAGCAATGGAGTCTCTTACTGACCCAAGGAGCTTGTCCTCATTGGTTTGTGGCAGGGGTACGTGTGTAGTGTTCTAGCAACCAGAACACTTACTTTTGTTCCCCTCTTCTGTTTCCATATCCTACCCCCTCCTGCTTGTTTTTGCCCTCTACCATCTCCTCACCCCTTTGCCAGGTGTCCTCTTTGCCCGCCGCCAGCCTGTGCCAGCTTCCCAGGGTCCAACCAACCCTGCACCCCCACCCTCTACAGGGCCCCCTTCCAGCACCTTCCCCTAAGAGGTCCTACTTGAAACTAAGAGTCCCAGCCCCATTGCTGAGTGGGGAGGAGTCCCTCTGCTTTGATTCTTTCCGGCTGCCCACTCTGGGACCCAGCCCTGGGAGGGGACCATACCTCCCATGCCATGTAGACTTAAAACCAAAGTTTCTTTTGATGTTACACCTACCTCACTGTAAAGGGAGGGCACCTCCTCCCCGGCCAATTCCAGCAGCATCTACTAAAGTGTTCTTCCTCCAGTAACCACTATCATCTCCTCATGTGTCCCCTCTGTCAATGTCATCTCTAGAACCCTACCCCTTTGAGTCAGCCTTGCTTCTCTTCAGGAGCCAAGTGAAAGGTTGGGTTGGGGTACTGTGAAAGAGACATCCCTCAGGTCACATCTAGACAATAAAGCTGCGATCCCTCCCTCTCTGATGCCTCCTTTCTTGTTTGGGTATGGGAGGTGGGGAGGAATGATGTGGAACATGGGCTGCCTTGGGCCAGGGCCTTTCAGAGGGGAAGGCAGAATAGCAAAGTTCCGTGAGAATAGAAGAGCTCCGTCTCTTGAATCAGACAACCTGAGTTCAAGCCCCATTTCTGTCCCTATAGTGCTGGGTGACCTTGGGCAAGTTACTTAATCAACTGAACTTTAGAAGACTCCAAAAGTTTATGGTAACTCACGGAGCCTTCTAATGATGTATCTATGGGAATGGACCTACCCTGGAACACGTGCAAACTCAGGGAATGGCGTGGGGAAAGCTCTTTGGCACCCGAAAAGCAAAGGTTGTCTTGACAACCAGGCGCTGGAAGCCGGGGAGGGCTGGTACAGAGCCGCTGCCAAGGTAATCAGCTTTTCACAGCTCCAAGCAGTAAATTCGGGTACTGAAGGGCTGAATCATGACGTCACTTCCTGCATAAAGGTCTGCTCGTGCACTCGGATTGGCTAGCCTTCCTATTTGGACGGACGTCCCACCCTCTGGCCGTTTCCCGGCTGAAGTGGGTCGTTAGTGGAGATGGCGGGTCTGACTGACGTGCAGCGGCTGCAGGCCCGAGTGGAAGAGCTGGAACGCTGGGTGTACGGGCCGGGCGGGGCGCGCGGCTCGCGGAAGGTGAGTAGTCTGGTCCGGTGGTCCCTTTCTGGAACAGAGCAAGAGCGGTCCACTGTCCCGGCCCTCGGGATGCAACCGCTCCTGTCCTGTTCTCCGCAGCCCGGCCTTTGAAATAACAAAGGTCTGGAACCTCCCAGAGCTGATTGGACCCTCGGGGTCCATTGTCATAGGGGGCACGGCGGGTGGTTAAGCCAGCCTGAGAGTGGGCTCAGTACCTACTGTGGCTGAGACTCCACCCTTGCCCTCGCGGGCTGTAGTTGGGGAGACCTGACACACTCGAGAAGCTGACTAATGAGAGTTTCAATAAAAGCTGAAGTCCACGATAGGAAGTCCCGTCATGGAGCCCTGCGTAATTAATTGCTAAATGAATTGTGCAGGAAGAGGTCCATGGGACCCATGAGGAGGCAGAGCAGAGGTGGATAAGGAAAGCTCCGAAGGGTGAGAGGTGAGGTCTGAAAGGACCAGGATTAGGAAGGGAAGAGATTGGGTACTGGGTGTTCAGATGTGGACTAGCACTGCTTTATACCAGTGACAGAATTTTGACAACTACGAAGCTCAGGTGCTCTCTCCTCACCTTTCTACTATGGGAAGACCTTTTACTGAAGAACTTCCAATTGCGTGTCAGGCATGTCCTGGAGCTAAGTGCGTCCAAGGTAATGATGTCTGTTTGTACACTAAATGAGGAATTAGTTGTCACTCGCAGACTGTGCTCCCATTTCAGAACTAACTTCTCAAACATTCTCTTCCTTTGGAATCAATGACACTGACCCTCCTGGTTTTCCTTCTACCTCTTAACTACTGCTTCTCAGTGTTATTTGCCTCCTCCCTGGCATTCCTCATCCTCTACTCTAAAAACTGGGTGAGTGCAGTCACTTCCTTAGTCTCCTCCTCTATTTGACCCTTTAATATTGGGATTCTTTACATTCTACCCCTAAACGTTAGGTAGGCTTACTTGCTTCCATGGTGTCAATTACTATTTACATGTCAATATGTCTCAAATGTATATCTCTGGTCCAGATTTCTGTTCTGAGAACCAGACTTTCATGTCCAGTTGTCTACTGGATTTTTCCACTTGGTTATCCAATAGTCATCTCAAACTCAATCTGTATGCTCTTAACTGTACTCTTTTTCTCCCCTAACCTGATTCTCTTCTGTATTCTCTAAGTCAGTGATTGTACCATCATTGGGATCCCAGTTGTTTGGACTCTTCCATCCCTCACACTAAATTTGATGTGGAGGGGATAGGGCTAGAAGTAGGCCAGCCAATCTAGAGGTCATGAAGGCTTGAATGAGGATGCTTGCATTTCTCATGCCCAAACCCAGGGCTTAGGAACCAGAAAATATATTGTGTATACTATATATTCCATAGACTCTAAAATAGTTCATTATCTTCCCCATCAGACTTGAAACTCCCCAAGGAGTACATGATTCTCTGTCTCCACTTTGAGGATACCTGGAAGGTGGGGCTGCATCTCTTTTAATGTTAGAGAAGGGAGGCCAACCTAGATTACTGGGATTCAGGTTTGACAGTCTAGGAGAATGAGGGTTATTTAGCTCTTCCAAGCCTTGAGCCAGGTAGTATATCTTGGAATTAACCACCACTTCCCTTACAGGTGGCTGACGGCCTGGTCAAGGTGCAGGTGGCTTTGGGGAACATTGCCAGCAAGAGGGAGAGGGTGAAGATTCTCTACAAAAAGAGTAAGTGCTTCCATGATGTGCCTGCCTGCCTGACATCCCATCCCTAGGCTTCCTGGGACCTGGCCCTAGCCTTTCAGTTCATTAAGTCACTGGAATAGCCCTTTGGGGATAGAAAGATTATGAGGACATTTACCTGCACCCAATTCGATTGGTAAATTGGGGTGTGCTTTTCTACCTTGTGGCTAAACTTCAAGCCCATGACAGTGTCCTTAGTTATGAGGTAAGAGCTCTACCTGAAAGCTTCTCTTGGTGAAGGAGGGTAGAAAGGGTATGGGATTTCCCAGGCAAAGTTAAGAGGCAGGAAACAAATTAGACACTGAGAGCCTGGTTATGTCAGAGCTAGTAACCTGCTTAGTAACTAGAAATTAGACAAAGCTCTGGCTTGTCTTGTTGACATCTAGGAGAAAAGAGGCCTTCTACCCTTGATAAGGATAGGTCAGTGAGAATGCTGAGGGCCCAGAGTGGTGGTGGCAATTGTGTTTTCAGCTCTGAAGCTTGATGTCAGAAGAGACCTCAAGAGAAGAGAGTGGAGAGATAGGGAAGTGGGGATAAGGAGCCTGGTGGAGCCCTGCTCAAGCAGCACTGTTGGGTATCAGCTCCTCATTGAAGGCTCTCCTCAAGGCTGACCACTTGTCAAACATCCTTCATAAGGCAGTGTTCTACTGCCCAACCCTATTCCATTTCCCATCTCGCTACTTTTCTAGTTGAAGATCTGATCAAGTACCTGGATCCGGAGTACATCGACCGCATTGCCATACCTGATGCTTCTAAGCTGCAATTCATCTTAGCAGGTAATGCTGGACTACATGTGTACATGCATCTGAGGATATGGGTCATTGGGGAGGTTAAGCACAGAGATGGCCTCCCCATCCAGTCTTCTGATGGATACAACCCCTGGATGCTGCTCTCTGGAATTGTGGCCTGGTTCTGGGTTGAGGATCCAGTGGATCCTCTAGTAGACATTGAGTACAGTATACCTCTGGGCCAGCTGCAGGCCATGGTGCCAGCCATAGTGGGAGCTAGTCCAATGTTCTATCAATAGCCTGCCTCTTGGATTTTCCTTCAGAACCTTCCTCACTTCTGCTTACTAGACAGAGGAGCTTCTAGGAAAGGATAGGGGCAGAGAGCATTGCCATTAAAGAAAAGAGAGAGTACTGGCATGAGTTTCAACATCTTTCTTTCATGTGAGAAAGCTCTGCAGTTTCAGAGTTCTAGGCAGGAACTATTGCCTTGGCAATGTCTGCTAATCAGTCAGCCATTCTATAAGCTAGGGTTTTCTGAGCTTTGTTATTCATCCAAAAGATGTATAATGATCATCTACTCTGATCCAGGTTTTTTCCTAGGTGAGGAGGCATACACTGGTGAACCAGAAAGTCCCTGCCCTCGTGTGTACAGCCAGAGCTAGGGGAGACAGGGTCTCTGCTTCAGGGACCTGAGCTTATAACCCAGATGGGAGATCAGTCTCCCAGGAGACTGATCAGTGCAATGCAGCACTGAGGACTGGGTAAGGATGGGCCACTCCTGCTAAAAGGGCCGTCAGAGTTCCCAAAGGGCTCTTGATCAATTGCCATGGCTCAAGCACCAAGTTTAGATATTCTCCTGCACTGACTCTTGAGTCCAGCCTCTCCATCCCTCCCTGTGGCACTGCCTCAGGAATTGTACATCCACTTGCACATGAATGGTTGCACAGTCTCCTAAATCATACTGTCGACCCTAATCTTTCCCTTCCTGCATGTGGTTCAGTCTCACCTTCACAAAAACATGTTTCCAGCATGTCACTTGGCCTACTTTGGAACCTCAGTGTCTTCTGCCTTGTTAGGATAAATTCCTAATTCCATAGTCTGCCATTCACAACCTTTCAGTCTGCCGGGTCTACCTTCCCATCCAACTCTGTTTCCTGTGCTCTCCCTGCTCCAGTTCAGCTAATGGAATTCTTTCTCATCTACTAATTGACAAGCATTCCTGCCTCTAAGCATTTGCACATAACAGTCATCTCTCTTGAATAACCTTCCCACTCTGTGGATTTCAGTGCATTAAAATCCCCTGTGCATATAGGGCCTAGCCCAGATCCTGCTTTCCTCACTGTACTCTTCCATTACTGTCCCAGCAATCCTCCAGCATATAATTGTCTATGCCTCTGAGAGCCCCTGAGCAGAACCTGCCTGGCATAGTCTGCCAATATCTCCTCTTTTAGACCTTCCCAGGGACCCTTGGGTGTGGGGATCCAAGTCTGAAGTACTTTCTATCCTGTGGCGTAAGAGGTGCTCCCTGAGTTTGTTGATAGGAGGCTAGAAAAAGAGGCCTTAAAGTTAAACCTTGGAGAAAGGTAGGATTTGGAGAAATTGAGAGGCTCCTTAGGCTCAGATGGGTCAGACCTGAGGCATCCAGGAGAGTTGGGGGCAGGATGGAAATGTGCACCTAGAGAAGGGGGTAGTGGACAGAGTCACTGTCCAAAGCTCTAGGGCCTAGCCATCTCCCTTGCCAGGTCCTCAGGCCCTTACATGGGCTGAGTAGCAATGTTTGCTTCACTGCAACTATCTTGTCCATTTTTGCTTTAGAGGAGCAGTTTATCCTCTCCCAGGTTGCACTCCTGGAGCAGGTGAATGCCTTGGTGCCCATGCTGGACAGTGCTCACATCAAAGGTATCTCTCTGGGGTTGTAGCTTCCCTACTCTGGTTGGGGAGGTAGGTGGATGGATGGGCAGGACTTTCCTGTGTTTCAGGTTATGTGGATTCGGGTTGGGTCTGTTCCTTATCTTTTTTTCTTTTTCTTTTTTTTTTGGACAGAGTCTTACTCTGTCACCCAGGCTGGAGTGCAGTGGCATGATCTTGACTCACTGCCACCTCTGCCTCCCGGTTCAAACAAACCTCCCACCTCAGCCTCCCAAGTAGCTAGGATTACAGGTGTGTGCCACCACACCCAGCTATTTTTAGTAGAGATGGGGTTTCACCATGTTGGCCAGGCTAGTCTCAAACTCCTGGCCCCATGTGATCCACCGCCTCGGCTTCCCAGAGTGCTGGGATTATAGGTGTAAGCTACTGTGCCTGCCTGTTCCTTATCTTTATCCTCACCCTGAGGTACTTGCCACATCCATGAATTAAAATTACCAGGGTAGAGAGCCCAGTTTTAGGACCTCAGACAATTTGGGCCTGAGAACACTAGCCTAAGTTCTAGCAGTCCCCAGCTCTGAGAATTCCTTCTACCATCTACCTACCCCCAAGCATCTCTCCTTCAAGGTGCTGCAGAACCCAGATTTTACTATGAGAGTCTCTGCCAGGTCCGTGAATGTATGTGAATTCTTTTTGCTGCACTGCTGAGACAGTCCCTGGGCCTGGACTTTGACAAGCAGACAGTGGCTTTAATTGAATCCAGATATCCATCTTGTCTGTCTCTGGAGGTATTTTTCCCAGCTCCCCCTCCCTACTCCTGATCAGCTGCCTGCTAAATATCTGACAGCCTTAAGCTTTGAGCCCAGCATGGTGGCCAACCCTCGGGCTGTTGGATTCCAGCTTAGGGACCTGGCATCCATCTTCAGGCTCCCTGTTCCCTAGACCAGGCAGACCTGGCCCCACTGGGCTGAGAGCAAAGGGACAGGTCCTATGATAGCCAAAGCTCTCTTTACCTGGTCCTGCTTATAGCACTGGGGTGGTGGTAGGGAGCAACACTGGGAACCCCAAGGTTTTGTCTTCTCCTTAGGACATGTATCTTCCCCTTCCCTATGGGTCCTGGAGTAAGACTGGAGTGGGCAGGGAGCCCCCACTGCCACCTCCAGCTGCAGCAGTCAATGAAGTCTGGCGTTTGTTTAGCCTCTCCACTCAATACTCTAATCCTGCCAAAGACCTAATAGACTATTGAGCAGTCCCGGGGGAGGGCACAAGCATCATCCAGCAGTGTGCGTTGTGTTTTACAGCCGTTCCTGAGCATGCCGCCCGCCTGCAGCACTTGGCCCAGATCCACATTCAGCAGCAGGTATGGGAGGGGAGAGGACTAGAAGGGAAGATAGAGGTGGCACAGCACCTCATCCCCACTCATGCCACCTGGGGAAGCAGCTTCAGGCCCTTCTGTTGTAAGCTCAGAAGAAACTTTGAGGTTTATCCTTTATCTTGCATGTGCCCCAGGGAGGTAAAGGGACTTGCCTAGGTTCATGTCCAAACCTTCTGCCTCCCAGAGCAGGACTTTACTGAGACACTATAAGGTTGAGGCTGGGAGGTACCCAAGAATTCCTGGGGATTGTATGTCCTTGACTGTGGGTAGAGGAGCTCTTTTTTCACTATTCCCAGGCCCCAGTGTAAAGTTCAAAGAGAGTTCAGAAATAAGGACAGAAGAAGAGGAGACATATACTAGGGGGAATGTTTACTTAATGTATGGCCACTCCCTTTCCCATCAGTCTTTGGACTGCTGTTAGGGCACCCATCCTGGAGCCTGCAAGTGCTCCCATAGCCATTTGCTCCTTTGGCTTTGGGGTTAAGCATCATCTTTTTTTAGGCTCCATGGGGAGTGGGAGTCCCTGATAAGGCAGGAAGTTTAGTGGAAGATGTGGGCTTTGCCAGGCTCCTTTCTGTGCTACACTTTGGCCCTACAGGACCAGTGTGTGGAGATCACTGAGGAGTCCAAGGCTCTCCTGGAGGAATACAACAAGACTGTATCCTTTCTGCTCAACTAGGACCCTAATGGGTGCTGTCCCTAAGCCCTGTCCTTTTGTTCCACCTCTAGCGTTCTCTCATTCTATCCCACCCACCTATGTTTGCCTGTTCCCCACTTTCCATGCACTTCCTCACTCAGACTCCTATTCTCACCTTGACCTACAACCAGACAATGCTTCTATCCAAGCAATTTGTGCAGTGGGATGAGCTACTTTGCCAGCTAGAGGCCGCCAAGCAAGTGAAGCCAGCAGAGGAATGACAGCTGCTCCCCATCCCAAGGTGGGCCTGGGCAGTCAGGCTCCAGGGCCCTATGCCAACCTGTCTTTGTTACAAGGCAGAGGAAGCTTTGTATTTATTGGATTCAAGGCCCACCTCTCTACTCAGGTGGAGCTCTAAAGTTGGAGGTCAGGTGACCTGAGGTTTGTAGTTTGCAACACCCACCCTCCCCCCCATCAGTGTTCTTATTCCAGTGACAATAAACCATAGAGATGACTGGAGGAGTGTGCTAGCTTCTTGGTCTAGGATGGGGGTGGTGGGGGGCAGAAGTGGCAGCCTGCCTAATCGTTGGACTGGGAACTAAACTCATCCTGGTTTGGCTTTCTGACAGGTGTAGAGCTCTGAAGATGAAGGCTCTCATTTGATTGTGTGAATAGGATATTCGTTTATCCCATATTTACCAAGAAGAGACCCCCAAATATCAGATGATGGGAGTAGATAGGGCTCACCTAATCCCTGCCCTGCACAGGCTAGCAGGATAGACAGTACAGGAAAAGGGCGGTCCTATCAGGTGGACACAGAAGAAAAAAGGGACTGAAGGGACCTGGTGAGTGATATCCAGGGACTTTCAGAGCCAAGGGAGCAGCATGTGCAAAGGCCTTTAAATTTCTCTCTTGGGAGGCTACCTGCTACCACTAGCCGAGAAGGGCAGCCTAAGAAGTTTGGATGCAGGAAGTTTTGGTCCTGGGGAGGAGAATTGGGGAAGTAGGGGCGCTGCGGCAAGCATGTTGAGAAACAGATTGGCACCGTACTCCACCAAATGTTTGCTGCCCCCTTGTGGTCTCAGGGAGTGCTCTTGCTCCAGACTCTTTTTCCAACGGCCCGCTGGCCGCCCAGCCTGTGCGACCTCTCCGGCACCTCAAATTCAGCGTGTCCAAACCGCTCTGAAATCTGGGAGTCATCCTAGCTCGGAATTTCCTACTTCTCTGTCCAAACAGTGGCCAGCTCGTCACTGAACCTACCTACTAGTATCTCCCAACTTAATCTTTTTTCCATTCCCACTACGATTTCTCTGGTTCATTAATGTAACAAATCATTTAACAAATATTTGAGCGCCGGTCATACGCCAGGCACCATACTAGGCTCCGTGGGCACCCCCGCCCCCTCAGCCCCCAGACTCCGTGGCAGGTGTCGTCAGGGGCTGCGGCCCGATTTCCCCATCACTCCCTCCTGGGCTCCCTTCACAAGATCTGGTTCGACTGGCCCCTGGAGAACCCCCGTGGTCTGCCAGGGCCCACAGGATGAGGTCGAAGTTCAGAAGTCGGTAACTAAGGCTCTTGCCCGTGCAACAGCAGCCACTCCAAACTGACGCCTTTGTTCGCACCCACGGTGAAACCCACTGCTCCCGCTTTGCTCAACAGCTAACACCAGTCCTCCCATCTTCTAAAGTCCAGATCCCCCTCCTTAAGATGCAGGAGTTCCCTGACGGCCGCTCCTTTCTACGGCAGGGAACTACCCTGCCTCCTTCCGGGCGTAACAGCGGAGGCTGCGCTCGTTTTCCCACATCCACTGGGACTGGTCCGGGGCGCCCTGGCCGGCGGGTTTCCGGGGCGGAGATGCCTACGGTCCAGTCCCTCATGCCCCGCCCCTCATGCCCCGCCCCCTCGGGGCGTGCGCGGCCCCGCGGCCTTAGCGCACTCCGGGCCCGTGCGCCATCTTGGCTCCGGATCGTGCGTGAGGCGGATTCGGTGAGAGCCGGAACCGGGCGGGCAGAGGGATACTCGGAGGGTGGGAGGACGCCTGCTGCTTGGCTGCAGCGGCCGGCAGGACCCTGGAAGCGACCGTGGCTATGGAAACGGCCAAGGCTGTCTTGGAATAGCCTGAGCAGCCCTCCGAGTCGAGCCTCTGCCCCCGTTTCTGAGTGACCTGGGTTGATATGGATCGACCCTGGTAATCTCTGGGAGAGGGGCTCAGTTCTGTTTGGGGGCAGCACTGGGTAAGAGTTCTTGGCTGTTTCCCGGGGGGGGCCTGGGGCTAAGGGCCTTGTCCCTGTCCTTGGGAGGAGCGCTCTCTATTGGTATTAATCTGGGGTGAGGGTTCCAGGCCCTGTTCCAAGGAGTCCAGGATAAGGGGGGCTAGGCCCCAGTCCGGGAGAGTTTGGGATGAGGGGGCCTGGCACTATCCCAAAGAGCTCAGTGTTTGGGGAGTTTGGTCGTGTCTCTGGGACTCCAGGATTGGAGGTGGGGGTGTTATGGCCCTTGTAGAGGAACGGAGTGTATGGGGTACAGCCCTTTCCCGGACGGCGGCAGGCATGGCCCTTGTCACAAGATGCTAAGGACAAGGGGACATGATCCTGTTTCTGGGAAGTCTGGAACGGGGAGCAGGGCCATATCCTGAATGGAGATAGGGGATGGTGGACAGTGACTTGGGGCATATTGCTTAGCACTCATCTGATGCTTCCCTGCAGTGGGCAGCGAGAGTCACATTCAAGACAGCAAGCAGGATGGAGCACTACCGGAAAGCTGGCTCTGTAGAGCTCCCAGCGCCTTCCCCAATGCCCCAGCTACCTCCTGATACCCTTGAGATGCGGGTCCGAGATGGCAGCAAAATTCGCAACCTTCTGGGACTGGCTCTGGGTCGGTTGGAGGGCGGCAGTGCACGGCATGTGGTGTTCTCAGGTTCTGGCAGGGCTGCAGGAAAGGCTGTCAGCTGCGCTGAGATTGTCAAGCGGAGGGTCCCAGGCCTGCACCAGCTCACGAAGCTACGTTTCCTGCAGACTGAGGACAGCTGGGTCCCAGCCTCACCTGACACAGGGCTAGACCCCCTCACAGTGCGCCGCCATGTGCCTGCAGTGTGGGTACTGCTCAGCCGGGACCCCCTGGACCCCAATGAGTGTGGCTACCAACCCCCAGGGGCACCCCCTGGCCTGGGTTCCATGCCCAGCTCCAGCTGTGGCCCTCGTTCCCGAAGAAGGGCTCGAGACACCCGATCGTGAAGACCTGCTGAGCCAGCCTGTTCTCCAGGCCTGAATGTCTGGGATGCTTGTGCCTTTTCTGAGAAGCCCTGTGACTGTGCAAATCCCCATCAAGGTTTGAGTCCACAGAAGTGGACTTCCCTGTCATGCTTTCCCTTCCCTCTAGCATGTGGGAAGGGACTGCTGTGAAGAGTGACAGGTGTGGGGCCTCTGCCAAGTTTCGCGTTGCTCAATAAGGGCTTACTCTGCCTTCTACCTACAATGCATCTGAACTGCCTTCTGAAAGAGGTCCAGGGAGGGATTTAGGAAATAAAGTTTCTACCTATTTGATGAGCCTCTACTCAGCCTGCTATGTGGAGTGGGATTAGAGAAATGGGAGTCCCTAGCCTTACCCCCTGGGAGCTGATCCGGTGAAGACAGAGGAAGAGTAGGCTCAGGATGTTCCTGGGAGAATCTAGTGTGGACAAGAAGCCTCAGTCAGTACTAAATATATCTAATTCCCTGGGTAGTTATTTAATCCTGCTTTGTCCTGGTTTAGGAACACTGCCAGGTCAGACATTTCTCTCCATCTGCAACTTACAGTATAGTATAGTGGTTGTGAGCATGGACTCTGGTACCAGTCTGCCTGCGTTTCAATTCTGGTCTGCCACTTACTAGCAAGTTACTGCTCTGTGTCTTAGTGGTCTTATCCATAAAACAGGAATACAATAGTGCTTATCACATAGGGTTGTTATGAGATTAAATAAGGAAATATACATATATGACATTTAGATATCACCTTGGCACATAGTGCTATTGTTAATTGCTATTATCGTTATTAATGATTTACCTATCCCAAATGCAACAACTGTTTCACACCTCCTTCCCTCCAGCTTCCTTGTCCCAGTCTCAGCTATGGAGCTGGATTCCTGCTTTAAAGAGATAGAGGCCTTCCGAACTCCCTCATGTTCCATCTTCACCTACAGACCTATCTGTATAAACATTTATCCTCAACTCCACTAGTTTGCAAACATGCTTTTTCCTGTCTTAGAAACATATCTTTGGGTTGGGCACAGTGGCTGATGCCTGTAATCCCAGCACTTTGGGAGGCTGAGGCAGGAGGATTGCTTGATCCCAGGAGTTGGGGACCAGCCTGGGCAACATAGTAGTGAGACCCTGTCTCTACAAAAACATCTAAAAATTAGCTAGGCACCTTTAGTCCCAGCTACTTGGGAGGCTGAGGTGAGAGGATCGCTTGAGCCCGGGAGGTTGAGGCTGCAGTGAGCCATGATTGTGCTACTGCACTTTGGCCTGGATGACAGAGTGAGACCCTGTCTCAAAAACAGAAAATAGGCTGGGCGCAGTGGCTCACACCTGTAGTCCCAGCACTTTGGGAGGCCAAGACCAGCCTGGTCAACTTGGTGAAACCCCATCTCTATTTAAAATACAAAAAATTAGCTGGGCATGGTGGTGCGTGCCTGTAATCCCAGTTACCTGGGAGGCTGAGGCAGGAGAATAGCTTGAACCCAGGAGGCGGAGGTTGCAGTGAGCTGGGATTGCACCACTGCACTCCCGCCTGAGTGACAGAGCAAGACTCCGTCTTGAAAAGACAAAATAGGCCTGGCATGGTGGCTCACCCCTGTAATCCCAGCACTTTGGGAGGCCAAGGAGGGTGGATCATGAGGTCAGGAGTTCGAGACCAGCCTCGCCAGCATGGTGAAACCCCCTCCCTACTAAAATACAAAAATTAGCTGGGCATGGTGGCATGCACCTGTAATCCCAGCTACTTGGGAGGCTGAGGCAGGAGAATCGCTTGAACCCGGGAGGCAGAGGTTGCAGTGAGCCGAGATCATGCCATTGCACTCCAGCCTGGGCAATAGAGTGAGACTCCATCTTTAAAAAAAAAAAAAAAAAAAAGACTGGGCGCGGTGGCTCACGCCTGTAATTCCAGCACTTTGGGAGGCTGCAGTGGGCAGATAACAAGGTCAGGAGTTCGAGACCACCCCGACCAACATGGTGAAACCCTATCTCTACTAAAAATACAAAAAAAATTAGCCAGACCTGGTGGTGGGCGCCTGTTATCCCAGCTACTTGGGAGACTGAGGCAGGAGAATCGCTTGAACCCAGGAGGCAGAGGTTGCAGTGAGCCGGTGAGATTACACCACTGCACTCCAGCCTGGGCAACAGAGCAAGACTCCGCAAACAAAACAAAAAAGGCCGGACACGGTGGCTCATGCCTGTAATCCTAGCACTTTGGGAGGCCAAGGCAGGCGGATCACCAGATCAGGAGATCGAGACCATCCTGGCTAAGACAGTGAAACCCCGTCT